AGCTTCGCTTAGTTTTGCTTATCTTCGCTTCGCTTCGCTTCGCTTAGCTTCGCTTAGCTTCCCTTTGCTTCGCTTAGCTTCGCTTTGCTTCCCTTAGCTTCGCTTAGCTTCGCTTCCTTTTGCTTAGCTTTGCCTAGCTTCGCTTAGCTTCGCTTGGCTTCGCTTGGCCTCGCTTAGCTTCGCTTCACTTCGCTTAGCTTCGCTTCGCTTGGCTTCGCTTTGCTTCTCTTAACTTTGCTTAGCTTCGCTTCGCTTAGCTTCGCTTCGCTTCTCTTAGCTTCGCTTTGCTTAGCTTCGCTTCTCTTAAATTCGCTTCGCTTAGCTTTGCTTCGCTTCCCTTAGCTTTGCTTGGCTTCGCTTGGCTTCGCTTATCTTCGCTTCGCTTCGCTTAGCTTCGCTTCGCATAGCTTCGCTTCGCTTTGCTTTGGTTCGCTTGGTTTCGCTTCGCTTATCTTCGCTTCGCTTCACTAAGCTTTGCTTCGCTTCACTTAGCTACGCTTTGCTTAGCAAAGCTTGGCTTCGCTTAGCGTAACTTGGCTTTGCTTCGCTGAGCTGAGCTTCGCTTCGCTTAGCTTTGCCTAGCTTTTCTTAGCTTCGCTCTGCTTCGCTTCGCTTTGCATAGCTTCGCTTCGCTTCTCTTAGCTTCGCTTTGCTTCGCTTCACTTAGCTTCGCTTCCCTTAGCTTCGTTTCGCTTCTCTTCGCTTCATTTTGCTTCGCTTCGCTAAGCTTCGCTTCGCTTAGCTTCGCTTCTGTTATAGTCACAATAGGCTTAGATGTGCCTATATGGAGAGATAGAGAGCACAGTCGGATTTCCGTCAGACGGCTTCAAATATTGATAACGATCTGGTCGCTGAATCAATCTGTGATCTGTAAGTTGGATCTAGAGCGTGTTGTTGTCGTCTATCAGCAGCAAGTTGAATCATAAAATTCCATGAAGATTTGACGACACTATGGCGGTTTGACTGGCAGGAGGTACAGTAGCCACTATAGTCTTAGGACTACAAACTTAGCAAGAAGAGTTCGAGAGGGAGATGGTTCCCAGCCTCTACATACCCCAAGAGCCGAGTTCCAGGTTGGTGGTACACCACCACAGAGTCCCCAACCATGAAGAGTCTCGAAACCAACCCTCCAAGGGGCTACACCAAGTGAAATGTAACACTACACGAAGTAACGTTACTATTTTCACTATTTAATATTTATCCGCGTCCCTTGGGCTTGAAATCTTGAGCTCTTGGTCTTGGTTCTGCAAGATAAATTCTTCTTGAGTTGATGGGGGCTTGCTGCACACACCTGCGACACGATGGACACTTCACACTCGACAAAATAGAAATAACACATGCGACACGCAAACGACGACTTGACATGCCAGTTGTAAAAACTCGCTAATGTCTTGACCGACACAAACCACATTGTGATACACCATTCAAACACACACACAAGCACTGGATAGCAATGACATAGACTCACAATTCATTCCATGCCATGCATGCACACACACAAGCAAGGACGACAAGCCGAGTGCAAGCCATAGGGTTGCACCAACAAACTCCCCCTCGGATTGTTGGCCTTAGAATCTGCTCCCCTTAGTTCAGAGCCATCCCAGCAAGCTTGCAACACTTCCAATGCTGCTGCTCAACCAGCCTCTTGGTCATCATATCAGCAGGCTGCGCCGTCGTCTTCACGTAGTGCAACTCCACTTCAGCCGCGGTTACCATGCTCCTCACCCAATGCCACTTCACCTTCATGTGCTTGGTAAGGCCATGAAGAACCGGGTTCTTAGCCAATGCAATAGCACCCTGGCTATCACAATAGAGTGGGGTAGGTCCTTGCTGCTCCTCCCCCAATTCAGCTAGCAAACGCCGCTGCCACACAACCTCTCTTATGGCACGGAAGAGTGCCATGTACTCGGACTCCACCGAGCTCAATGCTTGGTCCACTTGCTTCTTGCTCTCCCAAGCTGTTGGCCCTCCACCAACACAGCAGATGAAACCTCCCACACTTGTCATGTCCTCTGGTTCTGATGCCCAAGATGCATCAGAGAAGGCGGTGAGAAAGAGCCTCCCGGGTTCGACTCCATCCGCACCCTTTTGACGTCTTTGTGCCGCCGCGGAGTATTGCAGTCCAACAGTTGCTGTTTGGCCAAGGTACTTGGCCACCCTCTCTCCAGCTGCTACCTGCTCCTCATTAGGGCATTGGACAACCCTAGCCAGCTGCCCGGTAGAAAAGGCTGCATCCGGCCTTGTGTGAATGGCCGCATACATGAGGCTGCCCACCAAGGAGTGAAAACGGCGCCTCTCCTCTTCACCAACACTTTCCTCCGCTGGTCCTTTCACACACTTGAACCCTGAGGTAAGAGGAGTAGCCACATGACCTTCACTCTTCCCAAAGTTTGCAGCCAAGGCCTCCAAGTACTTCTTTTGATGCACTCGCATCCACCGCTTCTCCACATCTCGCTCAATGTGAAGCCCAAGGTAGTAGTTGACGTCACCAAGGGTCTTGCACTTGAACTTGTCTTGAAGCTTCAGCATCACCTCCTTCACAAGGTCAGAGGAGGGTGAGAATATGAGGATGTCATCCACATAAACCACCATGAAGCTCCTCTGCTCCCCCTCGCCAAGCATGAACAAGGATTGATCGGCCGTTGAGGGAGTGAAGCCGATCGCCTCCAAGACTTCCCGCAGCTTGATGTACCATTGCCTAGGGGCTTGCTTGAGGCCATAGAGTGCTTTCTTCAGCTTCCACACTCTGCCACTCCCATCATTGTACCCCTCTGGCTGCTCCATGTAGGTCTCTTCCTCCAAAACGCCATTGAGGAAGGCCGTTACTATATCCATTTGCTTCACCACCCATCCCTTGATGGCCGCCGCGGCGAAGAGGGTTCGAAGGGTTGTACCCTTCACCACAGGGGCATACACTTCATTGTAGTCCTTCTTCTCTTGCTGCTGATACCCCTTGGCTACAAGTCTGCTCTTGTAGCGCTCAATATTGCCGTCGGCGTCGGTCTTGCGCTTGAAGAGCCACTTGGAAGAAATCGCCTTACGCCCCGGAGGTAGGTTCACCAAGTCAAACGTGTTGTTCTCGATGATGCTCCCCATTTCTTCATCTGAGGCCTTCTTCCACTCCTTCCCATTGGGGCCCTCCCAAGCCTCCTTGGGATTTGTAGGCTCCCCCGGTATCTCCACCGGAGAGAAGAAGGCAAAAGCGCACTCCTCGCTTTCATCTTCCGCATCATCACCTAGCATGAGAGCCGAACCGGTCAAGGTTGAGTTGGCTGGTCCTCCAAGCCGTTCATAGCTCAACCTATTGGGGGGCTGAGTCCTCCTTCTCCCCCTTCCTTCCTCCTCTGCTGCAGGGACTTGAATGCTCTCATGGCGTTGCGGCAAATCTGGTCGGTTTCCTCGAGCACTTGTAGCACGAGGCGGAAGTGACGGTGCACGCTCATCACCTTGCTGCACCTCCTCCTCCTCTTCTCCCCCATTCATTTGAGGAGATTGCCTTGTGATAGTGCTGCTGCTACTCAGCTCCAAGGGCAGCTCCACATGCTCCAAGCCGGTACTCTTCACCTCTCCAAGCCGCACACCAATCTTCGCTTGGTTCTCCGCCTTCCACTCCTTGTACGGTAAGTTCTCCATGAACTTGCAATCTCTGCTCACCAGGAACTTCTTGGTAAATGGGTCCCAAAGAAGCCATCCCTTGCTGTTTTGAGCCATGCCCAGGTGCACGGCCCATGTTGCCTTGGCATCAAGCTTGTTGTGCCGAAGTTTCTTAGGCACAAGTGCCATGCACATGCACCCGAACACCCGAAGCATATCCACCTTCAGCTTCCTTCCAATCCACTCCACATAGGGCACCCATTTGTCTTCTCCCACATGAGTCAAGGCTCTGTTCTTGGCCACACAAGCATGCCGCACCGCATCCGGCCAAAAGTAATTGGGTAGACCGGCTTCAATGAGAAGTCCCCGAGCCGTCTCCGTGAGTGTCCGATTCGCACGCTCGGCGATGCCGTTCATTGCAGGAGAGTAGGGCATGGTAAGAGAGTGTCTTATGCCCTGATTCTTCAGCCAAGTTGAGAAATCCTTGCTCAGGAACTCTCCCCCACGGTCAGTGCGAATCGCCTTCACAAGTCGGTCTTGTTGCCGCTCCACCATCGGCAACCAATCGGTCTTCACCGTTTCAGCTACGTCACTCTTCTTGGGCAGTACATACACCCGAGTGTAGACGTCCACAATGGTGAGGAAGTACTCTGCTCCAGCAGCTCCAAGCTTCAAGGGGCCCACCACATCCATCACCACCTCATCAAGTGGTGCCTTCGCCGTTGTCTCCGAGCTATGGAACGGGTAGCGGGTGAACTTGGCTTGCATGCATGTTGGACAGCCAAGCACCTCATTGGGCTCCCCCTTGACACGTATCCCACTGACCATCTCTTGCTTAACAATCTGCTGCAAAATGGGCAATGCCACATGCCCCATTCGCCGATGCAAGGTCAGCCAATCACACTCTCCCGTAGCGGAAGTCGGGTTGGAGAAAGCGGCACTCGCAATTGTGCCCCACAAGCTCTCTCCTTTCTCCTTCGCCGCTGCTGCTTTGTTGATCTTAGCCTTCTCCTCCTCATTTCCACCACCTTTGGCTGCTGCACCATTCTCCTTGGGTTCACACGCCTTGCTGGTCTCTCCAAGGTTGCACTCCTTCGAGTCACTCTTGGTGTCACTTTGCTTTCCGTGATCACCGCCACCAACCGCTTCACGCTTGGTGCTGACGCTTGCTGCCACTTGCCTCTCTTTAGGCATGGGGACCACTGGGATTTTCCACATCTCATTGTAGATGTCCCTGTCCTCATGAAGGTCCCAAAGCTTCCGCTCACCAAGCCTTGCGGTATAGGTTTTGGATCCCTTGGAAGATGTGTCCATGCCGGCCTTTTGCAAACGCCGAACGGAAATCAGGTTGGCTGCTAGGTTGGGCACCAAAAGCACGTTCTTGAGGCCCACCATCTTCCCATCAGCACCCTTGAACATGGCCTTGCCCATGCCTTTCACCTCTGCTCGCTGCCCCAAAGCCGATGTAACATGCTTGACCGGCGACGGTTCGAGTTCGGTGAGCAAGTCCGCACGAGGTGTCATGCTATAGGTGGCGCCACTATCGATCACCCAAAAGTCCAGAGAGTGAAGGGTGACCTTTCCCACAGTAGCTGGCTCCTCAAAGCCTTCCACACCTCCTGCTGCAGCTGCCGCTTGCGTGGAGACACAGAAGAATTGGCCCGGGTATCGATCTTCACTCGAGTCCTTGTCGTAGTCTCCACCTTTCATGCTTGCCGCTTCGCTTCCACGACCACCACGGCCTCCACGACCTCTGCCTCTTCCTCCCCTTGCTCCTCTGCCCTCTTGGCCTTGAGAAGGGGTCCATCCATCAGGCAATCTGAAGCAATCTCTCCACATGTGGCCGGTCTTGTGGCAAAAGTGGCATTCGCCATCAAATCGACCGCGCCCACGCCCGTAGCCATTGTTGTTGTTGTTGCTGCCATATCCTCCATTACCACGGCCTCCATTGAAGTTACTGCTGCCAAATCTTCCTCCTCGCCCTCTGCCCCTTCCACGGCCGTGCCCACGGCCCATGCTTGCAACTCCGGCACCATCGGGACCCGCCAATTCGCGACGGCGGAAATCTTCTTGTAAGATTTCCCGCTTCACATCTTCGAGTGAGAGACGGGGCAGATCTCGATTAAGGTTGATGATGAGCGAGGACCATGAGTCCGGAAGTAAGGCCAGCAGCTTGGTCTTCTTTTGAAGGTCACTGTAGTCCAGATCAGCTCCTTCGAGCCGTGTCAACAAGTCGAAGAATTTCTGCACTCCTTCCTCCACCGGTTCGCCTTCGTCAATTCGAAGTGCCGCCATTTGCCGCTCCAAAACCACAGCCACCGCCGCTGTTGCAGGAGCGTGTACACCCTTGAGAGCAGCCCATGCCTTTGGTCCCTTTGCTGGTTCACGCTGAAAATGCTTGATGTGACGGATTTGGCTGCTCCCCAACGCTTGCCCAAGTAGAAGGTAGCCTTGTGCGCTCTTCCGCACCCACGGGCTCTTCTCCGGGTCGTTCTCGGGGCGCTTCTCCGTTCCTTCCATCACCTCCAGCAGATCATAGTGGTCGAAGATGTTCTCCATCTTGAAGGACCACTCAGCAAAGTTGTCACCGTTGAACTTGTCAAGGCCAAACACTCTAGGCTCATCCCTAGAGGGTCCAAGGCTAGGTTGCATCGGAGCAACGGGTGGATCTTGGTGTTGACCTTGTGCTTGGGCGTCTTCTCTGCCTCCAGCACCTCTGCCATCCCCTTCCTCAGGTCTAGGCATGGTCGAGACGGCTCCAAGGGGCTCTGATACCACTTGTTATAGTCACAATAGGCTTAGATGTGCCTATATTGAGAGATAGAGAGCACAGTCGGATTTCCGTCAGACGGCTTCAAATAATGATAACGATCTGATCGCTGAATCAATCTGTGATCTGTAAGTTGGATATAGAGCGCGTTGTTGTTGTCTATCAGCAGCAAGTTGAATCATAAAATTCCATGAAGATTTGACGACGCTATGGCGGTTTGACAGGCAGGAGGTACAGTAGCCACTATAGTCTTAGGAGTACAAACTTAGCAAGAAGAGTTCGAGAGGGAGATGGTTCCCAGCCTCTACATACCCCAAGAGCCGAGGTCCAGGTTGGTGGTACACCACCACAGAGTCCCCAACCATGAAGAGTCTCGAAACCAACCCTCCAAGGGGCTACACCAAGTGAAATGTAACACTACACAAAGTAACGTTACTATTTTCACTATTTAATATTTTTCCGCGTCCCTTGGGCTTGAAATCTTGAGCTCTTGGTCTTGGTTCTGCAAGATAAATTCTTCTTGAGTTGATGGGGGCTTGCTGCACACACCTGCGACACGATGGACACTTCACACTCGACAAAATAGAAATAACACATGCGACACGCAAACAACGACTTGACATGCCAGTTGTAAAAACTCGCTAATGTCTTGACCGACACAAACCACATTGTGATACACCATTCAAACACACACACAAGCACTGGAGAGCAATGACATAGACTCACAATTCATTCCATGCCATGCATGCACACACACAAGCAAGGACGACAAGCCGAGTGCAAGTCATAGGGTTGCACCAACAGCTTCGCTTCGCTTAGCTTCGCTTAGCTTTGTTTGGCTTCGTTTGGCATTGCTTACCTTCGCTTCGCTTAGCTTTGCTTGGCTTTGCTTAGCTTCCCTACGCTTTGATAGCTTCGCTTAGCTTCCGTTAGCTTCCCTTCGCTTCGCTTAGCTTCGCTTCGCATCCCTTAGCTTCGCTTAGCTTCGCTTAGCTTCTCTTAGCTTTGCTAAGCTTCGCTTCGCTTCACATCGCTTCTCTTCGCTTCGCTTCGCTTCGCTTCTCTTTGCTTCGCTTCGCTTAGCTTCGCTTCGATTTGATTAGCTTCGCTTAGCTTCGCTTAGCTTCGCTTAGCTTTGATTAGCTTTGCTTCGCTTCTCTTCGCCTCGCTTTGCTTCGCTTCGCTTTGCTTAGCATCGCTTAGCTTCGCTTCGCTTAGCTTCGCTTCGCTTAGCTTCGCTTTGCTTTCCTTAGCTTTGCTTAGCTGCGCTTAGCTTTGCTTCGCTTCGCTTAGCTTCGCTTAGCTTCGCTTGGCTTCGCTTAGCTTCGCTTCGCTTAGCTTGGCTTAGCTTCGCTTCGCTTAGCTTCGCTTCGCTTTGCTTAGCTTCACTTAGTTTTGCTTAGCTTCGCTTAGCTTTGCTTCGCTTGGCTTCGCTTTGCTTGGCTTTGCTTAGCTTCGCTTAGCTTCGCTTAGCTTCCCTTTGCTTCACTTAGCTTCGCTTTGCTTCCCTTAGCTTCGCCTAGCTTCGCTTAGCTTCGCTTCTATTTGCTTAGCTTCGCTTAGCTTCGCTTGGCCTCGCTTGGCCTCGCTTAGCTTCGCTTCGCTTGGCTTCGCTTTGCTTGGCTTCGCTTAGCTTTGCTTCGCTTCGCTTAGCTTCGCTTTGCTTCTCTTAGCTTCCCTTCGCTTCTCTTCGCTTCTCTTAACTTCGCTTCGCTTAGCTTTGCTTTGCTTCGCTTCGCTTCCCTTAGCTTCGCTTAGCTTCGCTTTGCTTCCCTTAGCTTCGCTTAGCTTCACTTCGCTTCGCTTCGCTTCCCTTAGCTTCGCTTCGCTACACTTAGTTTCGCTTCGCTTCTCTTAGCTTCGCTTTGCTTCTCTTCGCTTCTCTATCTTCGCTTCGCTCATCTTCGCTTAGCTCCATTTTGCTTCTCTTAGCTTCGCTTAGCATCCCTTCTGTTCGCTTTGCTTCTCTTCGCTTCTCTTCGCTTCGCTTCTCTTCGCTTCTCTTCGCTTTGCTTCGCTTCACTTAGCTTCGTTTCACTTAGCTTTGCTTCGATTCACTTAGCTTCGCTTCGCTTCTCTTTGCTTCGCTTCGCTAAGCTTCGCTTCGCTTGGCTTCACTTCACATCGCTTACCTTTGCTTCGCTTAGCTTTGCTTGGCTTTGCTTAGCTTCGCTTCGCTTTGCTTAGCTTCGCTTAACTTCGCTTAGCTTTGCTTAGCTTCGCTTTGCTTCGCTTAGCTTTGCTTAGCTTCGCTTAGCTTCGCTTAGCTTCCCTTCGCTTTGCTTAGCTTCGCTTAGCTTCGCTTCGCATCCCTTAGCTTCGCTTAGCTTCGCTCAGCTTCTCTTAGATTTGCTTAGCTTCGCTTCGCTTTGCTTTGCTTAGCTTTGCTTCGCTTTGCTTTCGATAGCTTCGCTTAGCTTTGCTTCGCTTAGCTTCGCTTAGCTTCCCATAGCTTCGCTTAGCTTCGCTTAGCTTCCCTTAGCTTCGCTTCTCTTCGCTTTGCCTAGCTTCGCTTAGTTTCGCTTCTCTTCGCTTCTCGCTTAGCTTCCCTTCGCTTCGCTTAGCTTTGCTTAGCTTCGCTTAGCTTCCCTTTGCTTCGCTTAGCTTCGCTTAACTTTGCTTTGCTTGGCTTCGCTTAGCTTTGCTTCGCTTCTCTTTGCTTAGCTTCGCTTAGCTTCGCTTGGCTTCGCTTGGCTTAGCTTAGCTTCGCTTCGCCTCGCGTAGCTTCGCTTCGCTTAGTTTCGCTTCACTTAGCTTTGCTTCACTTCGCTTAGCTTCGCTTCGCTTGTCTTAGCTTCGCTTCGCTTCTCTTAACTTCGCTTCGCTTCGCTTCCCTTAGCTTTGCTTAGCTTTGCTTTGCTAAGCTTCGCTTTGCTTTGCTTAGCCTCGCCTAGCTTCGCTTAGCTTCGCTTAGCTTCCCTTCGCTTCGCTTAGCTTTGCTTTGCTTCCCTTAGCTTCACTTCGCTTCGCTTAGCTTGGCTTCTCTTTGTTTAGCTTCGCTTAGCTTCACTTAGCTTCGCTTAGCTTCGCTTGGCTTCGCTTGGCTTTGCTTGGCTTCGCTTAGCATCGCTTCGCTTCGCTTCGCTTTGCTTAGCTTCGCTTAGTTTCGCTTAGCTTTGCTTTGCTTCTCTTTGCTTATCTTCGCTTCGCTTTGCTTAGCTTCGCTTAGCTTCCCTTTGCTTCACTTAGCTTTGCTTTTCTTCCCTTAGCTTCGCTTAGCTTCGCTTAGCTTCGCTTCTCTTCGCTTAGCTTCGCTTCGCTTTGCTTAGCTTCGCTTGGCTTTGCTTGGCTTCGCTTAGCTTTGCTTCGCTTCCCTTAGCTTCGCTTAGCTTCGCTTCGCTTCCCTTAGCTTTGCTTCGCTCCTCTTAGCTTCGCTTTGCTTCTCTTCGCTTCTCTTAACTTCGCTTCTCTTAGCTTCGCTTTGCTTCTCTTTGTTAGGATTAAGGACAGAGTCTAGGTGAACTTAGGAGCTAGAATTACTCAAAATATAAATCCGAAATTCTGGACAGAAAAGTCGTCTTCACAAGAAACGACGTCGACAAAACACTAGCCGTTGGAATGTCGCGAAACTTGGATATGTTGTAGCTCTTGATCTCAGCTACCGTTCCCAATTTGAATCACGTTGATTGATGAAGTATTCGCGACGCTATGGCTTTCGACGCACTAGGGGGTAAGCTGTAGGAGGAGAACTTAACTCAATCTCAAGAGTTCAATCAAAGTTCAAGAATCTCACAAGGAATTTAGAAGGAGCAAGAGAAAGGTTGGGATAGGAAGAGAGGGATGAGAGGGAAGGTCCCAAGAGAGTCCCCAACCAAGGAAACCCCATAAGCACAAAGATTCCCTCCCTATAGGAACCCCAACTTTGACATTTGTCCCTTCCCAACCAATCCATCCAAGTTGGCCACCCTTGCCAACCTAGCTTGGTTGTTCCCAACCAATTTGCAGCTGTTACAGTAGAGTGACAAGTTTCCCCAACCCCAAAGGTCCCAACTCCATATAAAGTCACCCCACAACTTCACTTAGTAACCGCCGCAATTGTAACGCAAGCTCATGAACTTTGAATCTTCATAGCTTTCGCGTTCTTGCTCCGATTGAAGCGATTCTTGTTGCGTCGGAAAGATCTTCTCAAGATCTATTATCACAAATACCTGCTCAGACAGAATAACACAAAACACATTCCCAAACTCCAGAACACACCACACACAAATGCTTGCACATTCAAACCACACATGCAAGTTGAAAAAACATGGGATGGGAGGCAGACAGAATGTGATAGCATATGATGACATCACACAACAATCTCCCCCTCTGGCTGCCAACCATCATCGACCATACCACATCTCAAGCATGCATACTCAATGCACACTCATCCCAGCAAGCTTCATGCCCTTCCAATGATCCGCCTCCGCAAGACGCTTAGTGAAAATATCTGCTGCCTGCTGATGGGTCTTCACTATCTCCAGCCGCACCTCCTTATCAAGGAGTCTCCTCACCCAATGCCACTTAGGCCTTATGTGTTTTGTCAGCCCATGCAGACAAGCATTCTTGGCGAGCTTCACAGCGGACTCATTGTCACAAAACACAACTGTCGGCTTCTCCTGACCAACTCCCAACTCCTCCAACAAACGCCTTAGCCACACTACTTCCTTGGCCCCATGGTGTAAGGCCATGTACTCAGTCTCACATGAGGACAATCCCACCTCATTCTGCTTCTTGCTGCGCCAGCTCACAGCACCACCTCCTAGCAAGCACACATAACCCCCAATGCTGGTGCCATCCGCTTTCACTGAGTTGAAGCTAGCGTCAGTATAGCAACTCAAGAGCATCTCACCACTCTTCACATCTGCAGCACCTCTCTGCAACCGCTGCCTCACTCCACTGTACTCCAATCCCACTGATGCCGTAGCACTCACATAGCGGACCAACCTCTTGGCCGCTTCCAGCTGCTCATGACTAGGGCGTGAGACCACACTAGCCAACCGTGATGTAGAAAATGCAATGTCAGGCCGTGTATGATTTGCAGCATAATTCAGCGACCCAACCATCGAATGAAACAGCTTCCTGTCACTCTCACCCACTACCTCCTCATCAGCACATGGCTCCACAGTAAACCCTGAAGGTAGTGGTGTTGCTGGCTTTCCCCCATCTTGCAGCCCATACTTCTCAGCCAGCCCCTCACAGTACTTCCTCTGGTGCAACCTCAGCACACCCTTTTCCACATCTCTCTCCACGTGCATCCCCAAGTAGTACTTCACCTCACCCATCTTGGAGCACTTGAACTGCATCTCCAGCATCTGCTCTGCGCTGTCCAGCAAAGCAGTTGATGCAGAAAAGAGAAGGATATCATCCACATACACCAAGAGCATGAGGATTTCATCCTTCTCCTGCAGCAGGAACAGGCTGGGGTCACACTCACTCTTCTTGAAACCCCCAGCCAACAGCGCCTCCTCCAACTTGTGATACCATGCACGAGGCGCCTGCTTAAGGCCATAGATGGCCTTCTTCAGCCTGCAGACCCTGCCGCTCCCGTCATCCAGCCCCTCTGGCTGTTTCATGTACACCTCCTCCAGAATGATCCCATTCAGAAAGGCAGTCACAATGTCCATCTGCCGTATCTTCCATCCCAGGAGTGCAGCTATCGCCAACAGCACCCTCAGTGTTGTTCCTTTCCCCACAGGAGCAAACACCTCATCATAGTCCTTCCCTTTTGTCTGCTGAAACCCCCTTGCCACAAGCCTGGACTTGTAGCGGGTCAGCTCCCCTTCAGGTCCATACTTGTGCCTGTAGATCATCTTGGAAGTGATTGCCTTCTTTCCAGGAGGCAAGTCACACAGGTCCCATGTCTCGTTCTCAATTAGGGACCCGAACTCCTCATCCTCACTCGCCTTCCACTTCTCCCCATTTGGTCCATTCAAGGCCTCCTCTCGAGTCTTGGGCTCAGGGATTGGTGCCCAGTAGCAGTGAGCGATCTCATCTTCCTCAATCTGCTCAACCACACTCCCAGCCTGCACCACATTTGGCTTGCCTCTTCCCCCATAGGTCAGCCTCACTGGAGGGCGCACATCCCTCCTAGGACGCTCAGGCGGGTGTGGAACTCGAGGTGGAGACTCATGCTGCTGCTGCTGCTGCTCTACTTCAGCTGCTCCCCCTTCCTCAGTCACCCCAGACATCTCCTCCTCTGACACTGCAACCTCCACCTGTCTTGAAGGGTGCTGCACCTCATCTGCCTCCACAATGAGCGGTGTAGATGGAAGCTTCTGTTGCTGCTGCTTCCATTCCTTGTAGTACAGGGACTCAAGAAACTTCACATCCCTTGACACTGTCAACTTCTGGGTGGTCAAGTCCCATAGCAGCCACCCCTTGTGATCCGTTGCAATCCCCAAGTGCACACCCCATCTTCCAGAAGCCTCCAACTTCCCCCTTTTCTCCTTGGGCACATGAAACACCACCATGCACCCAAATGCCCTCAGCATGTTCACCGCTGGAGCACTCCCATACCACTTGGCATATGGGATCCACTCCTTATCTCCAACTGTAGCCAGCACCCTATTCTTCACAAGGGCGACCTGCCTCAGTGCAGACACCCAAAACGGATCAGGCAGCCCTGCACGCCCAAGGAGAGTGCGTGCCCCCTCCTGCAGGGTCCTGTTGAACCTCTCAGCCACGCCATTCTGCTGCGGGTTGTAGGGCACTGTCAGTTGATGCTGGATCCCCTTCCTCTTCAACTCCCCCTCAAAATCAGCTCCAATGAACTCCCCACCATTGTCACTACGGATCACCTTCACCTTGTGTCCGCATTCCCTCTGAGCTCTAGGCATCCACTCCTTAAGGACAGCCGCTGCCACCTCCCCCTTGCTCTTCAAAGGGTAAACCCACACTGCCCGAGTGTGGTCATCCACAATTGTCAAGAAATAGCGGCTGCCTGAGAGGGAAGGGGCTCTTGTGGGCCCCACCACATCCATGTGCACAAGTGCAAGTGGGGTCTTGGCTGGTCCTGTAGTGCTGTTGAAGGGGAACTTGGAGAACTTGGTCTCCAAGCATGTAGGGCAGCTCCCAATCTCCTTCACTCCCCCTTTCACCTCCAAGCCCTTCAGGCTCCCATCCTTCACCAACTTCTGCAGCATAGGGAAGTTCACATGACACAGCCTCTCATGCCATGTCTCCCAATCGGCCTCTCCACTCCTTGATGAAGCCTTAGCCCATGCCGCACTCGCATCCACACCAGCAAGCACCTCACCATGTGTCTGCTGCTGCTGCACTTTCTTGACTGCTTCCAGGACCCCATCAGTTGGTGCAGTTGCATCTCCTCCTGCTGTTGCCTTTGCCGCTGCTGCCGTTGCTGCTGTTGGAGTCTTCCCATTCCATGGGATGATGGGCAGCTGCCACAGGTCCTTGATGCAGCTGGTCTCCTCTTCCAGACTCCACAGCACCTTCTTCCCAAGCTTAGCACGGCAGCTGGTTGGTCCAAAGGTCACTTCGGCCTTGCTCTTCTGCAGTCGTCGCACAGAGAGAAGGTTAGCAGACAAGCCTTCAACCAGCAGAACATTCCCAAGCCCCACAAGCTCCCCATTAGCTCCCTTAACCTTGGCATTCCCAACACCAATCACGGGGAGCAAAGCACCTGACGCTGCTGCCACATACTTAATCTTCCCAGGGGGTTTTACCTCATCAAGCAAATCTGCCCGTGGAGTCATGTGACTGGTGCAACCCGAATCAATCACCCAGTGCGTGAGAGGGTGCATCACAACCTTTCCGACAGATCCCACATCACCCTCATGCCCATGCACATCCTCAACCATGAGATACATCCCAGGATAGGCGTTACCTTGTGCACCTTCACCTTGTGCACCTGAGCCTTGCACAGCGCCACCTTGTGCGCGTTCACCACTTGGCGGCTTCATGCCTGGAGGTGACCATCCCTCCAGCCTGCTGAAGCACTTGAACCAAGGATGCCCGACCTTCTTGCAGTACCAGCAGGTGCCCTCCATTCTGGTACTCCCCCTGCCACTGGAGCTCCCATGCCCCTCATTATAGTCACCTCGGCCTCTACCTCTGCCAAAGCTTCTCCCACGGCCTCGGCCTCTCCAACCCCCTCTTCCTCTGCTGCGCCCTGCAGCTCCATACCCCTCAGCAGTCTTAGTGGCAGCACCGCCTCCCACATGGCGTCTGCGGAAGTCCTCCTGCAGAATCTGCTGCCTTAGCCACTCAGGTGTCCATTGATCTTGCTGAGAGTTGAGGGTGGGGATGAGGTTGTCCCAAGAGTTGTCCAACACCGAGATGATCTTGGTGCACTGCTGCAGCTGAGATACACTGCTGCCCGCTGCTGCCATCCTTGCATAGGTGTCCTTGATCTTGTCAAGGACCGGCTTCACATCGTCCCCTGGTCGCATGGAGATGGCAGCAAGTTCCTTCTCGAGCACGATCACCATCGGGAGAGTGTTGGGCTGAACCACATCACGTAGTAGTTTCCACGCCCTTGGACCCGAATCATCCGCTTCCACAAGATCCTTGATGTGCTCGAACATCTCCTTGTTGACCGATTGAAGAATGAGGTCGAAAAGCACCGCGCTTTTCTCAATCCACCGTTCACGTGCTTCGCCTTCTTCCGGCATCTTCTCTTCCCCAACAGCAATCTTCAGGAGCTTGTAGCGTTTGAAGGCACTCCTCATCCGTCCGCTCCATTCCTCATAGTTGGAGCCATCCAAAGCTTCAACTTTTGATGGCGGCGGCTCACTTGTCTTCTCAGCTACAGCTCCTCTTCCATTAGCATCTCCTCCTCTCTCATTCATCTTCTCCTTGAGAAATGACGAATTTCAGCTCCCCTTTGCTGTCCACACTCAGCTCCCTCGATATTTTCACAAGTGTCGGCGTCCACGAAATTTCGGCAGAGTTTCCCCTTAGCGGAAGACACATCCAACCTTTAGAACACCACTTAGGCACACCCACAGGCCATGGTGGGTCTAGAAGGGTCTTCACACTTCTGTAGACTCCTCTCAATGTCCTTAATATCGCTCTGATACCACTTGTTAGGATTAAGGACAGAGTCTAGGTGAACTTAGGAGCTAGAATTACTCAAAATATAAATCCGAAATTCTGGACAGAAAAGTCGTCTTCACAAGAAACGACGTCGACAAAACACTAGCCGTTGGAATGTCGCGAAACTTGGATATGTTGTAGCTCTTGATCTCAGCTACCGTTCCCAATTTGAATCACGTTGATTGATGAAGTATTCGCGACGCTATGGCTTTCGACGCACTAGGGGGTAAGCTGTAGGAGGAGAACTTAACTCAATCTCAAGAGTTCAATCAAAGTTCAAGAATCTCACAAGGAATTTAGAAGGAGCAAGAGAAAGGTTGGGATAGGAAGAGAGGGATGAGAGGGAAGGTCCCAAGAGAGTCCCCAACCAAGGAAACCCCATAAGCACAAAGATTCCCTCCCTATAGGAACCCCAACTTTGACATTTGTCCCTTCCCAACCAATCCATCCAAGTTGGCCACCCTTGCCAACCTAGCTTGGTTGTTCCCAACCAATTTGCAGCTGTTACAGTAGAGTGACAAGTTTCCCCAACCCCAAAGGTCCCAACTCCATATAAAGTCACCCCACAACTTCACTTAGTAACCGCCGCAATTGTAACGCAAGCTCATGAACTTTGAATCTTCATAGCTTTCGCGTTCTTGCTCCGATTGAAGCGATTCTTGTTGCGTCGGAAAGATCTTCTCAAGATCTATTATCACAAATACCTGCTCAGACAGAATAACACAAAACACATTCCCAAACTCCAGAACACACCACACACAAATGCTTGCACATTCAAACCACACATGCAAGTTGAAAAAACATGGGATGGGAGGCAGACAGAATGTGATAGCATATGATGACATCACACAACACTCTTCGCTTCTCGTAGCTTCGCTTAGCTTCACGTTGCACCAACATTAGCTTCTCTTCGCTTAGCTTCGCTTCGCTTTGCATAGCTTCGCTTAGCTTCGCTTCGCTTTGCTTATCTTCGCTTCGCATCGCTTAGATTCGATTCGATTCGCTTTGCTTGGCTTACCTTCGCTTCGCTTCGCTTCGCTTCGCTTCGCTTCTCTTAGCTTCGCTTAGCTTCGCTTCGCTTCTCTTCGCTTTGGTTCGCTTCACTTAGCTTTGCTTCCCTTCAATTAGCTTCGCTTCACTTCTCTTCGCTTCTCTTTGCTTCGCTTAGCCTCGCTTGGCTTCGCTTGGCTTAGCTTTGCTTGGCTTCGCTTCACATTGCTTACCTTCGCTTCGCTTAGCTTTGCTTGGCTTTGCTTCGCTTTGCTTAGCTTCGCTTAGCTTCCCTTCGCTTAGCTTTGCTTTGCATCCCTTAGCTTTGCTTAGCTTTGCTTAGCTTCTCTTAGCTTTTGCTAAGCTTCGCTACGCTTCACTTCGCTTCTCTTCGCTTCGCTTCGCTTCTCTTCGCTTCTCTTCGCTTCGCTTCGCTTCGCTTCGCCTTGATAAGCTTCGCTTCGCTTCGCTTTGCTTAGCATCGCTTAGCTTCACTTCGCTTAGCTTCGCTTCGCTTAGCTTCGCTTCGCTTGGCTTCGCTTAGCTTCCCTTAGCTTTGCTTAGCTTCGCTTAGCTTTGCTTTGCTTCGCTCAGCTTTGCTTGGCTTCGCTCAGCTTCGCTTGGCTTCGCTTAGCTTCGCTTCGCTTTGCTTAGCTTCGCTTAGTTTTGCTTATCTTCGCTTCGCTTCGCTTCGCTTAGCTTCGCTTAGCTTCCCTTTGCTTCGCTTAGCTTCGCTTTGCTTCCCTTAGCTTCGCTTAGCTTCGCTTCTTTTTGCTTAGCTTTGCCTAGCTTCGCTTATCTTCGCTTGGCTTCGCTTGGCCTCGCTTAGCTTCGCTTCGCTTGGCTTCGCTTTGCTTCTCTTAACTTTGCTTAGCTTCGCTTCGCTTAGCTTCGCTTCGCTTCTCTTAGCTTCGCTTTGCTTAGCTTCGCTTCTCTTAAATTCGCTTCGCTTAGCTTTGCTTCGCTTCCCTTAGCTTTGCTTGGCTTCGCTTGGCTTCGCTTATCTTCGCTTCGCTTCGCTTAGCTTCGCTTCGCATAGCTTCGCTTCGCTTTGCTTTGGTTCGCTTGGTTTCGCTTCGCTTATCTTCGCTTCGCTTCACTAAGCTTTGCTTTGCTTCACTTAGCTTCGCTTTGCTTAGCAAAGCTTGGCTTCGCTTAGCGTAACTTGGCTTTGCTTCGCTGAGCTTCGCTTCGCTTCGCTTAGCTTTGCCTAGCTTTTCTTAGCTTCGCTCTGCTTCGCTTCGCTTTGCATAGCTTCGCTTCGCTTCTCTTAGCTTCGCTTTGCTTCGCTTCACTTAGCTTCGCTTCCCTTAGCTTCGTTTCGCTTCTCTTCGCTTCATTTTGCTTCGCTTCGCTAAGGTTCGCTTCGCTTAGCTTCGCTTCTGTTATAGTCACAATAGGCTTCTCTTCGCTTTGCTTCACTTAGCTTCGCTTCACTTCGCTTAGCTTCCTGTTCGCTTCGCTTAGCCTCGCTTCGCCTAGCTTCGCTTCGCTTCGCTTAGGTTCGCTGAGCTTCTCTTAGCTTCGCTTCGCTTCTAACAGCTTCGCTTAGCTTCGCTTCACTTCGCATAGCTTCGCTTTGCTTCTCTTCGCTTCTCTTCGCTTCGCTTCGCTTAGCATCGCCTAGCTTCGCTTAGCATCGCTTAGCTTCGCTTCGCTTCGCTTAGCTTCGCTTCGCTTCACTTCGCTTCGCTTAGCTTCGCTTCACTTGGCTTAGCTTCACTTCGCTTCGCATAGCTTAGCTTAAATTCACTTCGCTTAGCTTTGCTTAGCTTTGCTTTGCTTCGCGTAGCTTCGCTTCGCTTCGCATATCTTCGCTTCGCTTCTCTTAGCTTCGGTTCGCTTCTTTTCGCTTCTCTTCGCTTTGCTTCGCTTAGCTTCGCTTCGCTTCGCTTAGCCTCGCTTTGCTTCCCTTAGCTTCGCTTCGCTTCGCTTAGCCTCGCTTCTCTTCGCCTAGCTTCGCTTCGCTTCGCTTAGCTTCACTTCGCTTCCCTTAGCTTCGCTTCGCTTCCCTTTGCTTCGCTTCGCTTCGCTTAGCTTCTCTTAGCTTCGCTTCGCTTCGCATACCTGCGCTTAGCTTTGCTTTGCTTTTCTTAGCTTCGCTTCTTTTCGCTTCGCTTCTCTATGCTTCTCTTCGCTTCGCTTCACTAAGCTTCCCTTCGATTGGCTTTGCTTCGCTTTGCTTCGCTTCCCTTCTCTTCGGTTCTCTTCGCTTAGCTTCGCTTTGCTTCGCTTCGCTTCGCTTCGCTTCGCTTCTCTTAGCTTCGCTTAGCTTCGCTTCGCTAAGCTTCGCTTTGCCTCTCTTTGCTTCTCTTTGCTTCGCTTCGCTTCGCTTTGCTTCGCTTCGCTTCGCTTCGCTTCGCTTCGCTTTGCTTCGCTTCGCTTAGCTTCGCTTCTCTTAGCTTCGCTTAGCTACGCTTCGCTTAGCTTCCCTTTGCCTCTCTTCGCTTCTCTTCGCTTCGCTTCGCTTAGCATCGCTTAGCTTTGCTTCGCTTCGCTTCGCATAGCTTCGCTTTGCTTTGCTTAGCTTCGCTTAACTTTGCTTTGCTTTGCTTAGCTTCGCTTTGCTTAGCTTCGCTTCGCTTCGCTTCGCTTCGCTAAGCTTCCCTTCGCTTCGCTTAGGTTCGTTTAGATTCGCTTGGCTTTGCTTTGCTTCTCTTCGCTTAGATTTGCTTAGCTTTTCTTAGCTTTGCTTCGCTTCGCTTTGCTTCGCTTAGCTTCGCTTCGCTTCGCTTAGCTTTCCTTCGCTTCGCTTAGCTTCGCTTCGATTTGCTTAGCTTCGCTTTGCTTCGCTTAGCTTCGCTTTGCTTCACTTAGCTTCGCTTCCCTTAGCTTCGGTTTGCTTCCCTTAGCTTCAGTTCGCTTCGCTTAGCTTCGCTTCGCTTCGCATAGCTGCGCTTAGCTTCGTTTTGCTTCTCTTAGCTTTGCTTCTCTTCGCTACGCTTCTCTTCGCTTCTCTTCGCTTCGCTTAGCTTCGCTTCTCTTCACTTAGCTTCGCTTAGCTTCGCTTCGCTTCGCTTCGCTTCGCTTCGCTTCGCTTCGCTTAGCTACGCTTAGATTCGCTTACCTTCGCTTAGCTTTGCTTCGCTTCGCTTAGCTTCGCTTTCCTTAGCATCCGTTCGCTTCTCTTAGCTTCGCTCAGCCTTGCTTCGCTTCGCATAGCTGCGCTTAGCTTAGCTTCGCTTCGCTTCCCTTCACTTCAGTTCGCTTCCCTTAGCTTCACTTCGCTTCGCTTAGCTTAGCTAAGCTTTGCTTCGCTTCGCTTCGCTTAGCTTCGCTTAGCTTCGATTAGCTTAGCTTAGTTTCGCTTAGCTTCGCTTAGCTTCGCTTCGCTTAGCTTCGCTTAGATTCGCTTAGCTTCGCTTAGTTTCGCTTAGCTTCGCTTAGCTTCGCTTAGCTTCGCTTTGCTTTGCGTAGCTTCGCCTAGCTTCACTTCGCTTCGCCTAGCTTCGCTTTGCTTCGCTTAGCTTCGCTTCGCTTTGCTTCGCTTCCCTTAGCTTCGGTTCGCTTCCCTTAACTTCGCTTCGCTTAGCTTTCCTTTGCTTTGCTTCGCTTTGCTTCGCTTCGCATACCTGCGCTTAGATTTGCTTTGCTTCGCTTAGCTTCGCTTCGCTTCCCTTAGCTTTGCTTCGCTTAGCTTCGCTTTGCTTCGCTTAGCTTCGCTTCGCTTAGCTACGCTTCGCTTCGCATACCTGCGCTTAGCTTTGCTTTGCTTTTCTTAGCTTCGCTTCTTTTCGCTTTGCTTCTCTATGCTTCGCTTCGCTTAGCTTCGCTTCCCTTCGCTTTGCTTCGCTTCGCTTCGCTTCTCTTAGCTTTGCTTAGCTACGCTTCGCTTAGCTTCGCTTTGCCTCTCTTCGCTTTTCTTCGCTTCGCTTCGCTTAGCATCGCTTAGCTTCGCATAGCTTTGCTTAGCTTCGCTTAGCTTCGCTTCGCTTAGCTTCGCTTAACTTCGCTTTGCATCGCTTAGCTTCCCTTTGCTTAGCTTCGCTTCGCTTCGCTTAGCTTCGCTTCGCTTCGCTTAGCTTCGCTTAGCTTCGTTTAGCTTCACTTGGCTTTGCTTCTCTTAGCTTCGCTCAGCTTTGCTTGGCTTCGCTTCGCTTCTCTTCGCTTCTCTTCGCTTCGCTTCGCTTAGCTACGCTTAGATTCGCTTAGCTTCGCTTAGCTTTGCTTCGCTTCGCTTAGCTTCGCTTCGCTTCGCTTTCCTTAGCTTCCGTTCGCTTCTCTTAGCTGCGCTTAGCTTAGCTTCGCTTCGCTTCCCTAAGCTTCAGTTCCCCTTAGCTTCACTTTGCTTCGCAAAGCTTTGCTTCGCTTCGCTTCGCTTAGCTTCACTTAGCTTCGGTTAGCTTAGCTTAGTTTCGCTTAGCTTCGCTTTGCTTAGCTTCGCTTAGATTCGCTTAGCTTCGCTTAGTTTCGCTTAGCTTCGCTTAGCTTTGCTTTGCTTTGCTTAGCTTCGCTTCGCTTTGCTTCACTTCGCTTCGCTTCCCTTAGCTTCGGTTCGCTTCCCTTAGCTTCAGTTCGCTTCGCTTCGCTATGCTTAGCTTCGCTTCGCTTCGCTTAGCTTCGTTTAGCTTCGCTTGGCTTTGCTTCGCTTCTCTTCGCTTAGCTTCGCTTAGCTTTGCTTAGCTTTGCTTAGCTTCGCTTCGCTTCGCATTGCTTCGCTTAGCTTTGCTTAGATTCGCTTCGCTTTGCTTCGCTTCGCTTAGCTTCGCTTCGCTTCGCTTCGCTTCGCTTCGCTTTGCTTAGCTTCGCTTCGCTTCGCTTCGCGTTGCTTCGCTTAGCTTCGCTTCCCTTAGCTTCGGTTTGCTTCCCTTAGCTTCACTTCGCTTCGCTTAGCTTCGCTTAGCTTCGCTTCGCTTTGCATAGCTGCACTTAGCTTCGTCTTGCTTCTCTTTGCTTCGCTTCTCTTCGCTACGCTTCTCTTTGCTTCTCTTCGCTTCGCTTCGCTTAGCTTCGCTTAGCTTCGCTTAGCTTTGCTTAGCTTCGCTTAGCTTCCCTTCGCTTCGCTGAGCTTCGCTTCGCTTTGCTTCGCTTCGCTTCCCTTAACTTTACTTTGCTTCGCTTAGCTTCGCATTGCCTGGCTTGCTTCGCTTCTCTTCGCTTAGCTTCGCTTAGCTTCGCTTCGCTTCGCTTAGCTACGCTTAGATTCGCTTAGCTTCGCTTAGCTTTGCTTTGCTTCGCTTAGCTTCGCTTCGCTTCGCTTTCCTTAGCATCCGTTCGCTTTTTAGCTTCGCTTAGCCTTGCTTCGCTTCGCATAGCTGCGCTTAGCTTAGCTTCGCTTCGCTTCCCTTCGCTTCAGTTCGCTTCCCTTAGCTTCACTTCGCTTCGCTTAGCTTAGCTAAGCTTTGCTTCGCTTAGTTTCGCTTAGCTTCGCTTAGCTTCGCTTAGCTTCGCTTTGCTTTGCTTAGCTTCGCCTAGCTTCACTTCGCTTCGCCTAGCTTCGCTTTGCTTCGCTTAGCTTCGCTTCGCTTCGCTTCGCTTCGCTTCGCTTCGCTTCCCTTATCTTCGGTTCGCTTCCCTTAACTTCGCTTCGCTTAGCTTTCCTTTGCTTTGCTTCGCTTTGCTTCGCTTCGCATACCTGCATGTTGGACATCCAAGCACCTCATTGGGCTCCCCCTTGACACGTATCCCACTAACCATGTCTTGCTTGACTATCTGCTGCAAAATGGGCAATGCCACATGCCCCATTCGCCGATGCAAGGTCAGCCAATCACACTCTCCCGTAGCGGAGGTCGGGTTGGAGAAAGCGGCACTCGCAATTGTGCCCCACAAGCTCTCTCCTTTCTCCTTCGCCGCTGCTGCTTTGCTGATCTTATGATTCTCCTCCTCATTTCCACCACCTTTGGCTGCTGCACCACTCTCCTTGGATTCACATGCCTTGCTGGTCTCTCCAAGATTGCACTCGTTCGAGTCACTCTTGGTGTCACTTTGCTTTCCGTGATCACCGCCACCACCCCCTTCACTCTTGGTGCTGATGCTTGCTGCCACTTGCCTCTCCTTAGGCATGGGGACCACTGGGATTTGCCACATTTCATTGTAGATGTCCCTGTCCTCATGAAGGTCCCAAAGCTTCCGCTCACCAAGCCGCGCGGTATAAGTTTTGGATCCCTTGGAAGATGTGTCCATGCCGGCCTTTTGCAAACGCCGAACGGAAATCAGGTTGGCTGCTAGGTTGGGCACCAAAAGCACGTTCTTGAGGCCCACCATCTTCCCATCAGCACCCTTGAACATGGCCTTGCCCATGCCTTTCACCTCTGCTCGCTGCCCCAAAGCCGATGTAACATGCTTGACCGGCGACGGTTCGAGTTCGGTGAGCAAGTCCGCACGAGGTGTCATGCTATAGGTGGCGCCGCTATCGATCACCCAAAAGTCCAGAGAGTGAAGGGTGACCTTTCCCACAGTAGCTGGCTCCTCAAAGCCTTCCACACCTCCTGCTGCAGCTGCCGCTTGCGTGGAGACAAAGAAGAATTGGCCCGGGTATCAATCTTCACTCGGGCCCGTCTCGTAGTCTCCACCTTTCATGCATGCCGCTTCGCTTCCACGACCACCACGGCCTCCACGACCTCTGCCTCTTCCTCCCCTTGCTCCTCTGCCCTCTTGGCCTTAAGAAGGGGTCCATCCATCAGGCAATCTGTAGCAATCTCTCCACATGTGGCCGGTCTTGTGGCAAAAGTGGCATTCGCCATCAAATCGACCGCGCCCACGCCCGTAGCCATTGTTGTTGTTGTTGCTGCCATATCCTCCATTACCACGGCCTCCATTGAAGTTGCTGCTGCCAAATCTTCCTCCTCGCCCTCTGCCCCTTCCACGGCCGTGCCCACGGCCCATGCTTGCAACTCCGGCACCATCGGTACCCGCCAATTCACGACGACGGAAATCTTCTTGTAAGATATCCCGCTTCACATCTTCGAGCGAGAGGCGGGGCAGATCTCGATTTAGGTTGATGATGAGCGAGGACCATGAGTCTGGAAGCAAGGCCAGCAGCTTGGTCTTCTTTTGAAGGTCACTGTAGTTCAGGTCAGCTCCTTCAAGCCGTGTCAACAAGTCGAAGAATTTCTGCACTCCGTCCTCCACCGGTTCGCCTTCGTCAATTCGAAGGGCCGCCATTTGCCGCTCCAAAACCACAGCCACCGCCGCTGTTGCAGGAGCGTGTACACCCTTGAGAGTGTTAGGATTAAGGACGGAGTCTAGGTGAACTTAGGAGCTAGAATTACTCAAAATATATATCCAAATTCTGGACAGAAAAGTCGTCTTCACAAGAAACGACGTCGACACAAAAATAACTGTTGGAATATCGCGAAACTCGGATATGTTGTAGCTCTCAATCTTAGCTACCGTTCTCAATTTGAATCACGTCGATTGATGAAGTATTCGCGACGCTATGTCTTTCGACGCACTGAGGGGTAAGCTGTAGGAGGAGAACTTAACTCAATCTCAAAAGTTCAATCAAAGCTCAAGAATCTCACAAGGAAAATTAGAGGAGCAAGAAAAAGGTTGGGATGGAAGAGAGGGATGAGAGGGAAGGTCCCAAGAGAGTCCCCAACCAAGGAAACCCCATAAGCACAAAGATTCCCCCCCTATAGGAACCCCAACTTTGACATTTGTCCCTTCCCAACCAATCCATCCAAGTTGGCCACCCTTGCCAACCTAGCTTGGTTGTTCCCAACCAATTTGCAGCTGTTACAGTAGAGTGACGAATTTCCCAACCCCAAAGGTCCCAACTCCATATTGAGTCACCCCACAACTTCACTTTGTAACCGCCGCAATTGTAACGCAAGCTCATGAACTTTGAATCTTCATAGCTTTCGCGTTCTTGCTCCGATTGAAGCGATTCTTGTTGTGTCGGAAAGATCTTCTCAAGATCTATCATCACAAATACCTGCTCAAACAAAATAACACAAAACACATTCCCAAACTCCAGAACACACACCACACAAATTCTTTCACACACAGTCACACCATACGTGCGAATTGAAACAAGGGATGGGAGGCAGACAGAATGTGATAACATATGATGACATCACACAACAATCTCCCCCTCTGGCTGCCAACCATCACCCACCATACCAACATCTCAAGCATGCATACTCAATGCACACTCATCCCAGCAAGCTTCATGCCCTTCCAATGATCCGCCTCCGCCAGACGCTTAGTGAAAATATCTGCTGCCTGCTGATGGGTCTTCACTATCTCCAGCCGCACCTCCTTATCAAGGAGTCTTCTCACCCAATGCCACTTAGGCCTTATGTGTTTTGTCAGCCCATGCAGACAAGCATTCTTGGCGAGCTTCACAGCGGACTCATTGTCACAAAACACAACTGTCGGCTTCTCCTGACCAACTCCTCCCAACCCTCACCCCCTCCTCCCTAAGCCAACTCAGCTCACATGAAACAATCCACCTCATCTGCTCTTGCTGCCCACTCACAGCACCACCCCAGCACACAATCCCCCCCATCCGCTTCACTGAGTGAGCTAGCGCATCCTTGGGGAATGCAGCAATACATAATGCAATCTCATCTTCCTCAATCTGCTCACCACACTCCCAGCCGCACCACACGCTGCCTTCCCCATAGGTCAGCCTCACGACGCACATCCTCCTAGACCTCACTGTGGTACTCAGGTGGAGCTCATCCACTTCAGCTGCTCCCCTTCCTCAGCAGAAATCCTTCAACCATCCCTGCTTGACCACTGTCCAGAGCGTGATGACTTCTGTGTGCTTATTCTTGTGTAGGTCAAGAATCACTCCTGACATGCATTCTGGGTCAGTCCATACAGCCCCCTTGTGATCCTTTGCAATCCCCAAGTGCACACCCCATCTTCCAGAAGCCTCCAACTTCCCTCTTTTCTCCTTAGGCACATGAAACACTACCATGCACCCAAATGCCCTCAGCATGTTCACAGCTGGAGCACTCCCATACCACTTGATATATGGGATCCACTCCTTATCTCCAACTGTAGCCAGCACCCTGTTCTTCACAAGGGCGACCTGCCTCAGTGCAGACACCCAAAACGGATCAGGCAGCCCTGCACGCCCAAGGAGAGTGCGTGCCCCCTCCTGCAGGGTCCTGTTGAACCTCTCAGCCACGCCATTCTGCTGTGGGTTGTAGGGCACTGTCAGTTGATGCTGGATCCCCTTCCTCTTCAACTCCCCCTCAAAATCAGCTCCAATGAACTCCCCACCATTGTCACTGCGGATCACCTTCACCTTGTGTCCGCATTCCCTCTGAGCTCTAGGCATCCACTCCTTAAGGACAGCCGCTGCCACCTCCCCCTTGTTGTTCAAAGGGTAAACCCACACTGCCCGAGTGTGGTCATCCACAATTGTCAAGAAATAGCGGCTGCCTGAGAGGGAAGGGGCTCTTGTGGGCCCCACCACATCCATGTGCACAAGTGCAAGTGGGGTCTTGGCTGGTCCTGTTGCACTGTTGAAGGGGAACTTGGAGAACTTGGTCTCCAAGCATGTAGGACAGCTCCCAATCTCCTTCACTCCCCTTTCACCTCCAAGCCCTTCAGGCTCCCATTCTTCACCAACTTCTGCAGCATAGGGAAGTTCACATGACACAACCTCTCATGCCATGTCTCCCAATCGGCCTCTCCACTCCTTGATGAAGCCTTAGCCCATGCCGCACTCGCATCCACACCAGCAAGCACCTCACCATGTGTCTGCTGCTTCTGCACTTTCTTGACTGCTTCCAGGACCCCATCAGTTGGTGCAGTTGCATCTCCTCCTGCTGTTGCCTTTGCCGCTGCTGCCGTTGCTGCTGTTGGAGTCTTCCCATTCCAAGGGATGATGGGCAGCTGCCACAGGTCCTTGATGCAGCTGGTCTCCTCTTCCAGACTCCACAGCACCTTCTTCCCAAGCTTAGCACGGCAGCTGGTTGGTCCAAAGGTCACTTCGGCCTTGCTCTTCTGCAGTCGCCGCACAGAGAGAAGGTTAGCAGACAAACCTTCAACTAGCAGAACATTCCCAAGCCCCACAAGCTCCCCATTAGCTCCCTTAACCTTGGCATTCCCAACACCAATCACAGGGAGCAAAGCACCTGACGCTGCTGCCACATACTTGATCTTCCCAGGGGGTTTTACCTCATCAAGCAAATCTGCCCGTGGGGTCATGTGACTGGTGCACCCTGAATCAATCACCCAGTGTGTGAGAGGGTGCATCACAACCTTTCCCACTGATCCCACATCACCCTCATGCCCATGCACATCCTCAACCATAAGATACATCCCAGGATAGGCGTTACCTTGTGCACCTTCACCTTGTGCACCTGAGCCTTGCACAGCGCCACCTTGTGCGCGTTCACCACTTGGCGGCTTCATGCCTGGAGGTGACCATCCCTCCGGCCTGCTGAAGCACTTGAACCAAGGATGCCCGACCTTCTTGCAGTACCAGCAGGTGCCCTCCATTCTGGTACTCCCCCTGCCACTGGAGCTCCCATGCCCCTCATTATAGTCACCTCGGCCTCTACCTCTGCCAAAGCTTCTCCCACAGCCTCGGCCTCTCCAACCCCCTCTTCCTTTGCCGCGCCCTGCAGCTCCATACCCCTCAGCAGTCTTAGTGGCAGCACCGCCTCCCATATGGCGTCTGCGGAAGTCCTCCTGCAGAATCTGCTGCCTTAGCCACTCAGGTGTCCATTGATCTTGCTGAGAGTTGAGGGTGGGGATGAGGTTGTCCCAAGAGTTGTCCAACACCGAGATGATCTTGGTGCACTGCTGCAGCTGAGATACACTACTGCCCGCTGCTGCCATCCTTGCATAGGTGTCCTTGATCTTGTCAAGGACCGGCTTCACATCGTCCCCTGGTCGCATGGAGATGGCAGCAAGTTCCTTCTCGAGCACGATCACCATTGGGAGAGTGTTGGGCTGAATCACATCACGTAGTAGTTTCCACGCCCTTGGACCCGAATCATCCGCTTCCACAAGATCCTTGATGTGCTCGAACATCTCCTTGTTGACCGATTGAAGGATGAGGTCGAAAAGCACCGCGCTTTTCTCAATCCACCGTTCGCGTGCTTCGCCTTCTTCCGGCATCTTCTCTTCCCCAACAGCAATCTTCAGTAGCTTGTAGCGTTTGAAGGCACTCCTCATCCGTCCGCTCCATTCCTCATAGTTGGAGCCATCCAAAGCTTCAACTTTTGATGGCGGCGGCTCACTTGTCTTCTCAGCTACAGCTCCTCTTCCATTAGCATCTCCTCCTCTCTCATTCATCTTCTCCTTGAGAAATGACGAATTTCAGCTCCCCTTTGCTGTCCACACTCAGCTCCCTCGATATTTTCACAAGTATCGGCGTCCACGAAATTTCGGCAGAGTTTCCCCTTAGCGGAAGACACATCCAACCTTTAGAACACCACTTAGGCACACCCACAGGCCATGGTGGGTCTAGAAGGGTCTTCACACTTCTGTAGACTCCTCTCAATGTCCTTAATATGGCTCTGATACCACTTGTTAGGATTAAGGACGGAGTCTAGGTGAACTTAGGAGCTAGAATTACTCAAAATATAAATCCGAAATTCTGGACAGAAAAGTCGTCTTCACAAGAAACGACGTCGACAAACAACTAGCCGTTGGAATGTCGCGAAACTTGGATATGTTGTAGCTCTTAATCTCAGCTACCGTTCCCAATTTGAATCATGTTGATTGATAAAGTATTCGCGACGCTATGGCTTTCGACGCACTAGGGGGTAAGCTGTAGGAGGAGAACTTAACTCAATCTCAAAGGTTCAATCAAAGTTCAAGAATCTCACAAGGAATTAGAAGGAGCAAGAGAAAGGTTGGGATAGATGGAGAGGGACGAGAGGGAAGGTCCCAAGAGAGTCCCCAACCAAGGAAACCCCATAAGCACAAAGATTCCCTCCCTATAGGAACCTCAACTTTGACCTTTGTCCCTTCCCAACCAATCCATCCAAGTTGGCCACCCTTGCCAACCTAGCTTGGTTGTTCCCAACCAATTTGCAGCTGTTACAGTAGAGTGACAAATTTCCCCAACCCCAAAGGTCCCAACTCCATATAAAGTCACCCCACAACTTCACTTTGTAACCGCCGCAATTGTAACGCAAGCTCATGAACTTTGAATCTTCATAGCTTTCGCGTTCTTGCTCCGATTGAAGCGATTCTTGTTGCGTCGGAAAGATCTTCTCAAGATCTATCATCACAAATACCTGCTCAGACAGAATAACACAAAACACATTCCCAAACTCCAGAACACACCACACACAAATTCTTTCACACACAGTCAAACCATACATACGAATTGAAACAAGAGATGAGAGGCAGACAGAATGTGATAGCATATGATGACATCACACAACAGAAGGAATGCGCAGAGAGGGATGAAGGGATGGGCAGAGAGGGATGAAGTAATGGGCAGTGAGGGATGAAGGAATGGGCAGAGAGGGATGAAGGTATGGGCAGGGAGGGATGAAGGAATGGGCAGAGAGGGATGAAGGAATGGGCAGAGAGGGATGAAGGAATGGGCAGAGAGGGATGAAGGAATGGGCAGAGAGGGATGAAGGGATGGGCAGAGAGGGATGAAGGGATGGGCAGAGAGGGATGAAGGAATGGGCTGAGAGGGATGAAGGATTGGGCAGAGAGGGACGAAGGGATGGGCAGAGAGGGATGAAGGAATGGGCAGAGAGGGATGAAGGAATGGGCAGAGAGGGATGAAGGAATGTGCAGAGAGGGATGAAGGAATGGGCAGAGAGAGATGAAGGAATGGGCAGAGAGGGATGAAGGAATGGGCAGAGAGGGATGAAGGTATGGGCAGAGAGGGATGAAGGAATGGGCAGTGAGGGATGAAGGGATGGGCAGAGAGGGATGAAGGAATGGGCAGAGAGGGATGAAGGAATGGGCAGAGAGGGATGAAGGTATGGGCAGAGAGGGATGAAGGAATGGGCAGAGAGGGATGAAGGGATGGGCAGAGAGGGATGAAGGAGTGGGCAGAGAGGGTTGAAGGGATGAGCAGAGAGGGATGAAGGAATGTGCAGAGAGGGATGAAGGGTGGGCAGAGAGGGATGAAGGAATGGACAGAGAGGGATGAAGGTATGGGCAGAGAGGGATGAAGGAATGGGCAGAGAGGGATGAAGGAATGGGCAGAGAGTGATGAAGGAATGGGCAGAGAGGGAAGAAGGTATGGGCAGAGAGGGATGAAGGAATGGGCAGAGAGGGATGAAGGAATGGGCAGAGAGGGATGAAGGAATGTGCTGAGAGGGATGAAGGAATGGGCAGAGAGGGATGAAGGAATGTGCAGAGAGGGATGAAGGGATGGGCAGAGAGGGATGAAGGAATGTGCAGAGAGGGATGAAGGAATGGGCAGAGAGGGATGAAGGAATGGGCAGAGAGGGATGAAGGAATGGGCAGAGAGGGTTGAAGGAATAGGCAGAGAGGGATGAAGGAATGGGCAGAGAGGGATGAAGGGATGGGCAGAGAGGGATGAAGGTATGGGCAGAGAGGGATGAGGGAATGTGCAGAGAGGGATGAATGGGCAGAGAGGGATGAAGGAATGGGCAGAGAGGGATGAAGGAATGGGCAGAGAGGGATGAAGGAATGGGCAGAGAGGGATGAAGGAATGGGCAGAGAGGGATGAAGGTATGGGCAGAGAGAGATGAAGGAATGGGCAGAGAGGGATGAAGGAATGGGCAGAGAGGGATGAAGGGATGGTCAGAGAGGGATGAAGGAATGCGCAGAGAGGGATGAAGGAATGGGCAGAGAGGGATGAAGGAATGGGCAGAGAGGGATGAAGGAATGGGCAGAGAGGGATGAAGGAATGGGTAGAGAGGGATGAAGGAATGTGCTGAGAGGGATGAAGGAATGGGCAGAGAGGGATGAAGGAATGGGCAGAGAGGGATGAAGGTATGGGCAGAGAGGGATGAAGGAATGGGCAGAGAGGGATGAAGGTATGGGCAGAGAGGGATGAAGGAATGGGCAGAGAGGGATGAAGGGATGGGCAGAGAGGGATGAAGGAATGTGCAGAGAGGGATGAATGAATGGGCAGAGAGGGATGAAGGAATGGGCAGAGAGGGATGAAGGTATGGGCAGAGAGGGGTGAAGGAATGGGCAGAGAGGGATGAAGGGATGGGCAGAGAGGGATGAAGGGATGGGCAGAGAGGGATGAAGGAATGGGCAGAGAGGGATGACGGAATGGGCAGAGAGGGACGAAGGGATGGGCAGAGAGGGATGAACGAATGGGCAGAGAGGGATGAAGGTATGGGCAGAGAGGGATGAAGAAATGGGCAGAGAGGGATGCAGGGATGGGCAGAGAGGGATGAAGGAATGGGCAGAGAGGGATGAAGGAATGGGCAGAGAGGGATGAAGGTATGGGCAGAGAGGGATGAAGGAATGGGCAGAGAGGGATGAAGGGATGGGCAGAGAGGGATGAAGGAATGGGCAGAGAGGGATGAAGGAATGGGCAGAGAGGGATGAAGGAATGGGCAGAGAGGGATGAAGGAATGGGCAGAGAGGGATGAAGGAATGTGCAGAGAGGGATGAAGGAATGAGCAGAGAGGGATGAAGGAATGGGCAGAGAGTAATGAAGGAATGGGCAGAGAGGGAAGAAGGTATGGGCAGAGAGGGATGAAGGAATGGGCAGAGAGGGATGAAGGGATGGTCAGAGAGGGATGAAGGAATGCGCAGAGAGGGATGAAGGAATGGGCAGAGAGGGATGAAGGGATGGGCAGAGAGGGATGAAGGAATGGGCAGAGAGGGATGAAGGAATGGGCAGAGAGGGATGAAGGGATGGGCAGAGTGGGATGAAGGAATGGGCAGAGAGGGATGAAGGAATGGGCAGAGAGGGATGAAGGTATGGGCAGAGAGGGATGAAGGAATGGGCAGAGAGGGATGAAGGAATGGGCAGAGAGGGATGAAGGAATGTGCAGAGAGGGATGAAGGAATGGGCAGAGAGGGATGAAGGAATGGGCAGAGAGGGATGAAGGAATGGGCAGAGAGGGACGAAGGGATGGGCAGAGAGGGATGAACGAATGGGCAGAGAGGGATGAAGGTATGGGCAGAGAGGGATGAAGAAATGGGCAGAGAGGGATGAAGGGATGGGCAGAGAGGGATGAAGGAATGGGCAGAGAGGGATGAAGGAATGGGCAGAGAGGGAAAAAGGTATGGGCAGAGAGGGATGAAGGAATGGGCAGAGAGGGATGAAGGGATGGGCAGAGAGGGATGAAGGAATGGGCAGAGAGGGATGAAGGAATGGGCAGAGAGGGATGAAGGAATGGGCAGAGAGGGATGAAGGAATGGGCAGAGAGGGATGAAGGAATGGGCAGAGAGGGTTGAAGGGATGAGCAGAGAGGGATGAAGGAATGTGCAGAGAGGGATGAATGGGCAGAGAGGGATGAAGGAATGGACAGAGAGGGATGAAGGTATGGGCAGAGAGGGATGAAGGATTGGGCAGAGAGGGATGAAGGGATGGGCAGAGAGGGATGAAGGAATGGGCAGAGAGGGATGAAGGGATGGGCAGAGAGGGATGAAGGAATGGGCAGAGAGGGATGAAGGAATGGGCAGAGAGGGATGAAGGGATGGGCAGAGTGGGATGAAGGAATGGGCAGAGAGGGATGAAGGAATGGGCAGAGAGGGATGAAGGTATGGGCAGAGAGGGATGAAGGAATGGGCAGAGAGGGATGAAGGGATGGGCAGAGAGGGATGAAGGAATGGGCAGAGAGGGATGAAGGAATGGGCAGAGAGGGATAAAGGTATGGGCAGAGAGGGATGAAGGAATGGGCAGAGAGGGATGAAGGAATGTGCAGAGAGGGATGAAGGAATGGGCAGAGAGGGATGAAGGAATGGGCAGAGAGTAATGAAGGAATGAGCAGAGAGGGAAGAAGGTATGGGCAGAGAGGGATGAAGGAATGGGCAGAGAGGGATGAAGGGATGGTCAGAGAGGGATGAAGGAATGCGCAGAGAGGGATGAAGGAATGGGCAGAGAGGGATGAAGGGATGGGCAGAGAGGGATGAAGGAATGGGCAGAGAGGGATGAAGGAATGGGCAGAGAGGGATGAAGGGATGGGCAGAGTGGGATGAAGGAATGGGTAGAGAGGGATGAAGGTATGGGCAGAGACGGATGAAGGAATGTGCAGAGAGGGATAAAGGGATGGGCAGAGAGGGATGAAGGAATGGCTTGAGAGGGATGAAGGGATGGGAAGAGAGGGATGAAGGAATGTGCAGAGAGGGATGAAGGAATGGGCAGAGAGGGATGAAGGAATGGGCAGAGAGGGATGAAGGAATGGGCAGAGAGGGATGAAGGAATGGGCAGAGAGGGATGAAGGAATGTGCGAGAGGGATGAAGGAATGGGCAGAGAGGGATGAAGGAATGGGCAGAGAGGGATGAAGGTATGGGCAGAGAGGGATGAAGGAATGGGCAGAGAGGGATGAAGGAATGGGCAGAGAGGGATGAAGGGATGGTCAGTGAGGGATGAAGGAATGGGCAGAGAGGGATGAAGGAATGGGCAGAGAGGGATGAAGGAATGTGCAGAGAGGGATGAAGGAATGGGCAGAGAGGGATGAAGGAATGTGCTGAGAGGGATGAAGGAATGGGCAGAGAGGGATGAAGGAATGGGCAGAGAGGTATGAAGGTATGGGCAGAGAGGGATGAAGGAATGGGCAGAGAGGGATGAAGGAATGGGCAGAGAGGGATGAAGGGATGGGCAGAGAGGGATGAAGGAATGGGCAGAGAGGGATGAAGGAATGGGCAGAGAGGGATGAAGGAATGTGCAGAGAGGGATGAAGGAATGTGCAGAGAGGGATGAAGGAATGGGCAGAGAGGGATGAAGGAATGGGCAGAGAGGGATGAAGGAATGTGCAGAGAGGGATGAAGGAATGGGCAGAGAGGGATGAGGGAATGTGCAGAGAGGGATGAATGGGCAGAGAGGGATGAAGGAATGGGCAGAGAGGGATGAGGGAATGTGCAGAGAGGGATGAAGGAATGGGCAGAGAGGGATGAAGGAATGTGCAGAGAGGGATGAAGGAATGGGCAGAGAGGGATGAGGGAATGTGCAGAGAGGAATGAATGGGCAGAGAGGGATGAAAGAATGGGCAGAGAGGGATGAAGGTATGGGCAGAGAGGGATGAAGGAATGGGCAGAGAGGGATGAAGGAATGGGCAGAGAGGGATGAAGGGATGGGCAGAGAGGGATGAAGGAATGGGCAGAGAGGGATGAAGGTATGGGCAGAGAGGGATGAAGGAATGGGCAGAGAGGGATGAAGGAATGGGCAGAGAGGGATGAAGGTATGGGCAGAGAGGGATGAAGGAATGGGCAGGGAGGGATGAAGGAATGGGCAGAGAGGGATCAAGGAATGCGCTGAGAGGGATGAAGGAATGGGCAGAGAGGGATGAAGGAATGTGCAGAGAGGGATGAAGGGATGGGCAGAGAGGGATGAAGGAATGTGCAGAGAGGGATGAAGGAATGGGCAGAGAGGGATGAAGGAATGGGCAGAGAGGGATGAAGGAATGGGCAGAGAGGGATGAAGGAATGGGCAGAGAGGGTTGAAGGAATGGGCAGAGAGGGATGAAGGAATGGGCAGAGAGGGATGAAGGGATGGGCAGAGAGGGATGAAGGGATGGGCAGAGAGGGATGAGGGAATGTGCAGAGAGGGATGAATGGGCAGAGAGGGATGAAGGAATGGGCAGAGAGGGATGAAGGAATGGGCAGAGAGGGATGAAGGAATGGGCAGAGAGGGATGAAGGAATGGGCAGAGAGGGATGAAGGTATGGGCAGAGAGGGATGAAGGAATGGGCAGAGAGGGATGAAGGAATGGGCAGAGAGGGATGAAGGGATGGTCAGAGAGGGATGAAGGAATGCGCAGAGAGGGATGAAGGAATGGCCAGAGAGGGATGAAGGAATGGGCAGAGAGGGATGAAGGAATGGGCAGAGAGGGATGAAGGAATGGGCAGAGAGGGATGAAGGAATGTGCTGAGAGGGATGAAGGAATGGGCAGAGAGGGATGAAGGAATGGGCAGAGAGGGATGAAGGTATGGGCAGAGAGGGATGAAGGAATGGGCAGAGAGGGATGAAGGAATGGGCAGAGAGGGATGAAGGGATGGTCAGAGAGGGATGAAGGAATGGGCAGAGAGGGATGAAGGAATGGGCAGAGAGGGATGAAGGAATGTGCAGAGAGGGATGAAGGAATGGGCAGAGAGGGATGAAGGAATGTGCGGAGAGGGATGAAGGAATGGGCAGAGAGGGATGAAGGAATGGGCAGAGAGGGATGAAGGAATGGGCAGAGAGGGATGAAGGAATGTGCAGAGAGGGATGAGGGAATGTGCAGAGAGGGATGAATGGGCAGAGAGGGATGAAGGAATGGGCAGAGAGGGATGAGGGAATGTGCAGAGAGGGACGAATGGGCAGAGAGGGATGAAGGAATGGGCAGAGAGGGATGAAGGTATGGGCAGAGAGGGATGAAGGTATGGGCAGAGAGGGATGAAGGAATGGGCAGAGAGGGATGAAGGGATGGGCAGAGAGGGATGAAGGAATGGGCTGAGAGGGATGAAGGATTGGGCAGAGAGGGACGAAGGGATGGGCAGAGAGGGATGAAGGAATGGGCAGAGAGGGATGAAGGGATGGGCAGAGAGGGATGAAGGAATGGGCAGAGAGGGATGAAGGAATGGGCAGAGAGGGATGAAGGGATGGTCAGAGAGGGATGAAGGAATGGGCAGAGAGGGATGAAGGAATGGGCAGAGAGGGATGAAGGAATGTGCAGAGAGGGATGAAGGAATGGGCAGAGAGGGATGAAGGAATGTGCTGAGAGGGATGAAGGAATGGGCAGAGAGGGATGAAGGAATGGGCAGAGAGGGATGAAGGAATGGGCAGAGAGGGATGAAGGAATGGGCAGAGAGGGATGAAGGAATGGGCAGAGAGGGATGAAGGAATGTGCAGAGAGGGATGAGGGAATGTGCAGAGAGGGATGAATGGGCAGAGAGGGATGAAGGGATGGGCAGAGAGGGATGAAGGGATGGGCAGAGAGGGATGAGGGAATGTGCAGAGGGGGACGAGAATGGGCAGAGAGGGATGAAGGAATGGGCAGAGAGGGATGAAGGAATGGGCAGAGAGGGATGAAGGTATGGGCAGAGAGGGATGAAGGTATGGGCAGAGAGGGATGAAGGAATGGGCACAGAGGGATGAAGGGATGGGCAGAGAGGAGAAGGATGGGCGAGAGGGATGAAGGATGGGCAGAGAGGGATGAAGGGATGGGCAGAGAGGGATGAAGGAATGGGCAGAGAGGGATGAAGGTATGGGCAGAGAGGATGAAGGAATGGGCAGAGAGGGATGAAGGAATGGGCAGAGAGGGATGAAGGTATGGGCAGTGAGGGATGAAGGAATGGGCAGAGAGGGATGAAGGAATGGGCAGAGAGGGATCAAGGAATGTGCTGAGAGGGATGAAGGAATGGGCAGAGAGGGATGAAGGAATGTGCAGAGAGGGATGAAGGGATGGGCAGAGAGGGATGAAGGAATGTGCAGAGAGGGATGAAGGAATGGGCAGAGAGGGATGAAGGAATGGGCAGAGACGGATGAAGGAATGGGCAGAGAGGGATGAAGGAATGGGCAGAGAGCGTTGAAGGAATGGGCAGAGAGGGATGAAGGAATGGGCAGAGAGGGATGAAGGGATGGGCAGAGAGGGATGAAGGGATGGGCAGAGAGGGATGAGGGAATGTGCAGAGAGGGATGAATGGGCAGAGAGGGATGAAGGAATGGGCAGAGAGGGATGAAGGAATGGGCAGAGAGGGATGAAGGAATGGGCAGAGAGGGATGAAGGGATGGTCAGAGAGGGATGAAGGAATGGGCAGAGAGGGATGAAGGAATGGGCAGAGAGGGATGAAGGAATGTGCAGAGAGGGATGAAGGAATGGGCAGAGAGGGATGAAGGAATGTGCGGAGAGGGATGAAGGAATGGGCAGAGAGGGATGAAGGAATGGGCAGAGAGGGATCAAGGAATGGGCAGAGAGGGATGAAGGAATGTGCAGAGAGGGATGAGGGAATGTGCAGAGAGGGATGAATGGGCAGAGAGGGATGAAGGAATGGGCAGAGAGGGATGAGGGAATGTGCAGAGAGGGACGAATGGGCAGAGAGGGATGAAGGAATGGGCAGAGAGGGATGAAGGTATGGGCAGAGAGGGATGAAGGTATGGGCAGAGAGGGATGAAGGAATGGGCAGAGAGGGATGAAGGGATGGGCAGAGAGGGATGAAGGAATGGGCTGAGAGGGATGAAGGATTGGGCAGAGAGGGACGAAGGGATGGGCAGAGAGGGATGAAGGAATGGGCAGAGAGGGATGAAGGGAGGGGCAGAGAGGGATGAAGGAATGGGCAGAGAGGGATGAAGGAATGGGCAGAGAGGGATGAAGGGATGGTCAGAGAGGGATGAAGGAATGGGCAGAGAGGGATGAAGGAATGGGCAGAGAGGGATGAAGGAATGTGCAGAGAGGGATGAAGGAATGGGCAGAGAGGGATGAAGGAATGTGCTGAGAGGGATGAAGGAATGGGCAGAGAGGGATGAAGGAATGGGCAGAGAGGGATGAAGGAATGGGCAGAGAGGGATGAAGGAATGTGCAGAGAGGGATGAGGGAATGTGCAGAGAGGGATGAATGGGCAGAGAGGGATGAAGGGATGGGCAGAGAGGGATGAAGGGATGGGCAGAGAGGGATGAGGGAATGTGCAGAGAGGGCGAATGGGCAGAGAGGGATGAAGGGCAGAGAGGGATGAAGGAATGGGCAGAGAGGGATGAAGGTATGGGCAGAGAGGGATGAAGGTATGGGCAGAGAGGGATGAAGGAATGGGCAGAGAGGGATGAAGGGATGGGCAGAGAGGGATGAAGGAATGGGCTGAGAGGGATGAAGGGATGGGCAGAGAGGGATGAAGGAATGGGCAGAGAGGGATGAAGGTATGGGCAGAGAGGGATGAAGGAATGGGCAGAGAGGGATGAAGGAATGGGCAGAGAGGGATGAAGGTATGGGCAGAGAGGGATGAAGGAATGGGCAGAGAGGGATGAAGGAATGGGCAGAGAGGGATCAAGGAATGTGCTGAGAGGGATGAAGGAATGGGCAGAGAGGGATGAAGGAATGTGCAGAGAGGGATGAAGGGATGGGCAGAGAGGGATGAAGGAATGTGCAGAGAGGGATGAAGGAATGGGCAGAGAGGATGAAGGAATGGGCAGAGACGGATGAAGGAATGGGCAGAGAGGGATGAAGGAATGGGCAGAGAGCGTGAAGGAATGGGCAGAGAGGGATGAAGGAATGGGCAGAGAGGGATGAAGGGATGGGCAGAGAGGGATGAAGGGATGGGCAGAGAGGGATGAGGGAATGTGCAGAGAGGGATGAATGGGCAGAGAGGGATGAAGGAATGGGCAGAGAGGGATGAAGGAATGGGCAGAGAGGGATGAAGGAATGGGCAGAGAGGGATGAAGGAATGGGCAGAGAGGGATGAAGGAATGGGCAGAGAGGGATGAAGGAATGGGCAGAGAGGGATGAAGGAATGTGCTGAGAGGGATGAAGGAATGGGCAGAGAGGGATGAAGGAATGGGCAGAGAGGGATGAAGGTATGGGCAGAGAGGGATGAAGGAATGGGCAGAGAGGGATGAAGGAATGGGCAGAGAGGGATGAAGGGATGGTCAGAGAGGGATGAAGGTATGGGCAGAGAGGGATGAAGGAATGGGCAGAGAGGGATGAAGGTATGGGCAGAGAGGGATGAAGGAATGGGCAGAGAGGGATGAAGGAATGGGCAGAGAGGGATGAAGGGATGGTCAGAGAGGGATGAAGGAATGGGCAGAGAGGGATGAAGGAATGGGCAGAGAGGGATGAAGGAATGTGCAGAGAGGGATGAAGGAATGGGCAGAGAGGGATGATGGAATGTGCTGAGAGGGATGAAGGAATGGGCAGAGAGGGATGAAGGAATGGGCAGAGAGGGATGAAGGAATGGGCAGAGAGGGATGAAGGAATGTGCAGAGAGGGATGAGGGAATGTGCAGAGAGGGATGAATGGGCAGAGAGGGATGAAGGAATGGGCAGAGAGGGATGAGGGAATGTGCAGAGAGGGACGAATGGGCAGAGAGGGATGAAGGAATGGGCAGAGAGGGATGAAGGTATGGGCAGAGAGGGATGAAGGAATGGGCAGAGAGGGATGAAGGAATGGGCAGATAGGGATGAAGGGATGGGCAGAGAGGGATGAAGGAATGGGCTGAGAGGGATGAAGGATTGGGCAGAGAGGAAAAGGGATGGGCAGAGAGGGATGAAGGAATGGGCAGAGAGGGATGAAGGAATGGGCAGAGTGGGATGAAGGAATGGGCAGAGAGGGATGAAGGGATGGGCAGAGAGGGATGAAGGAATGGGCAGAGAGGGATGAAGGAATGGGCAGAGAGGGATGAAGGAATGTGCAGAGAGGGATGAAGGAATGTGCAGAGAGGGATGAAGGAATGGGCAGAGAGGGATGAAGGAATGGGCAGAGAGGGATGAAGGAATGTGCAGAGAGGGATGAAGGAATGGGCAGAGAGGGATGAGGGAATGTGCAGAGAGGGATGAATGGGCAGAGAGGGATGAAGGAATGGGCAGAGAGGGATGAGGGAATGTGCAGAGAGGGATGAAGGAATGGGCAGAGAGGGATGAAGGAATGTGCAGAGAGGGATGAAGGAATGGGCAGAGAGGGATGAGGGAATGTGCAGAGAGGAATGAATGGGCAGATAGGGATGAAGGAATGGGCAGAGAGGGATGAAGGTATGGGCAGAGAGGGATGAAGGAATGGGCAGAGAGGGATGAAGGAATGGGCAGAGAGGGATGAAGGGATGGGCAGAGAGGGATGAAGGAATGGGCAGAGAGGGATGAAGGTATGGGCAGAGAGGGATGAAGGAATGGGCAGAGAGGGATGAAGGAATGGGCAGAGAGGGATGAAGGTATGGGCAGAGAGGGATGAAGGAATGGGCAGAGAGGGATGAAGGAATGGGCAGAGAGGGATCAAGGAATGTGCTGAGAGGGATGAAGGAATGGGCAGAGAGGGATGAAGGAATGTGCAGAGAGGGATGAAGGGATGGGCAGAGAGGGATGAAGGAATGTGCAGAGAGGGATGAAGGAATGGGCAGAGAGGGATGAAGGAATGGGCAGAGAGGGATGAAGGAATGGGCAGAGAGGGATGAAGGAATGGGCAGAGAGGGTTGAAGGAATGGGAAGAGAGGGATGAAGGAATGGGCAGAGAGGGATGAAGGGATGGGCAGAGAGGGATGAAAGAATGGGCAGAGAGGGATGAGGGAATGTGCAGAGAGGGATGAATGGGCAGAGAGGGATGAAGGAATGGGCAGAGAGGGATGAAGGAATGGGCAGAGAGGGATGAAGGAATGGGCAGAGAGGGATGAAGGAATGGGCAGAGAGGGATGAAGGTATGGGCAGAGAGGGATGAAGGAATGGGCAGAGAGGGATGAAGGAATGGGCAGAGAGGGATGAAGGGATGGTCAGAGAGGGATGAAGGAATGCGCAGAGAGGGATGAAGGAATGGGCAGAGAGGGATGAAGGAATGGGCAGAGAGGGATGAAGGAATGGGCAGAGAGGGATGAAGGAATGGGCAGAGAGGGATGAAGGAATGTGCTGAGAGGGATGAAGGAATGGGCAGAGAGGGATGAAGGAATGGGCAGAGAGGGATGAAGGTATGGGCAGAGAGGGATGAAGGAATGGGCAGAGAGGGATGAAGGAATGGGCAGAGAGGGATGAAGGGATGGTCAGAGAGGGATGAAGGTATGGGCAGAGAGGGATGAAGGAATGGGCAGAGAGGGATGAAGGAATGTGCAGAGAGGGATGAAGGAATGGGCAGAGAGGGATGAAGGAATGGGCAGAGAGGGATGAAGGGATGGGCAGAGAGGGATGAAGGGATGGGCAGAGAGGGATGAGGGAATGTGCAGAGAGGGATGAATGGGCAGAGAGGGATGAAGGAATGGGCAGAGAGGGATGAAGGAATGGGCAGAGAGGGATGAAGGAATGGGCAGAGAGGGATGAAGGAATGGGCAGAGAGGGATGAAGGTATGGGCAGAGAGGGATGAAGGAATGGGCAGAGAGGGTTGAAGGAATGGGCAGAGAGGGATGAAGGGATGGTCAGAGAGGGATGAAGGAATGCGCAGAGAGGGATGAAGGAATGGGCAGAGAGGGATGAAGGAATGGGCAGAGAGGGATGAAGGAATGGGCAGAGAGGGATGAAGGAATGGGCAGAGAGGGATGAAGGAATGTGCTGAGAGGGATGAAGGAATGGGCAGAGAGGGATGAAGGAATGGGCAGAGAGGGATGAAGGTATGGGCAGAGAGGGATGAAGGAATGGGCAGAGAGGGATGAAGGAATGGGCAGAGAGGGATGAAGGGATGGTCAGAGAGGGATGAAGGAATGGGCAGAGAGGGATGAAGGAATGGGCAGAGAGGGATGAAGGAATGTGCAGAGAGGGATGAAGGAATGGGCAGAGAGGGATGATGGAATGTGCTGAGAGGGATGAAGGAATGGGCAGAGAGGGATGAAGGAATGGGCAGAGAGGGATGAAGGAATGGGCAGAGAGGGATGAAGGAATGTGCAGAGAGGGATGAGGGAATGTGCAGAGAGGGATGAATGGGCAGAGAGGTATGAAGGAATGGGCAGAGAGGGATGAGGGAATGTGCAGAGAGGGACGAATGGGCAGAGAGGGATGAAGGAATGGGCAGAGAGGGATGAAGGTATGGGCAGAGAGGGATGAAGGTATGGGCAGAGAGGGATGAAGGAATGGGCAGATAGGGATGAAGGGATGGGCAGAGAGGGATGAAGGAATGGGCTGAGAGGGATGAAGGGATGGTCAGAGAGGGATGAAGGAATGGGCAGAGAGGGATGAAGGAATGGGCAGAGAGGGATGAAGGAATGTGCAGAGAGGGATGAAGGAATGGGCAGAGAGGGATGATGGAATGTGCTGAGAGGGATGAAGGAATGGGCAGAGAGGGATGAAGGAATGGGCAGAGAGGGATGAAGGAATGGGCAGAGAGGGATGAAGGAATGTGCAGAGAGGGATGAGGGAATGTGCAGAGAGGGATGAATGGGCAGAGAGGGATGAAGGAATGGGCAGAGAGGGATGAGGGAATGTGCAGAGAGGGACGAATGGGCAGAGAGGGATGAAGGAATGGGCAGAGAGGGATGAAGGTATGGGCAGAGAGGGATGAAGGTATGGGCAGAGAGGGATGAAGGAATGGGCAGATAGGGATGAAGGGATGGGCAGAGAGGGATGAAGGAATGGGCTGAGAGGGATGAAGGATTGGGCAGAGAGGGACGAAGGGATGGGCAGAGAGGGATGAAGGAATGGGCAGAGAGGGATGAAGGAATGGGCAGAGTGGGATGAAGGAATGGGCAGAGAGGGATGAAGGAATGAGCAGAGAGGGATGAAGGAATGTGCAGAGAGGGATGAGGAATGTGCAGAGAGGGATGAATGGGCAGAGAGGGATGAAGGAATGGGCAGAGAGGGATGAGGGAATGTGCAGAGAGGGACGAATGGGCAGAGAGGGATGAAGGAATGGGCAGAGAGGGATGAAGGTATGGGCAGAGAGGGATGAAGGTATGGGCAGAGAGGGATGAAGGAATGGGCAGAGAGGGATGAAGGGATGGGCAGAGAGGGATGAAGGAATGGGCTGAGAGGGATGAAGGATTGGGCAGAGAGGGACGAAGGGATGGGCAGAGAGGGATGAAGGAATGGGCAGAGAGGGATGAAGGAATGGGCAGAGAGGGATCAAGGAATGTGCTGAGAGGGATGAAGGAATGGGCAGAGAGGGATGAAGGAATGTGCAGAGAGGGATGAAGGGATGGGCAGAGAGGGATGAAGGAATGTGCAGAGAGGGATGAAGGAATGGGTAGAGAGGGATGAAGGAATGGGCAGAGACGGATGAAGGAATGGGCAGAGAGGGATGAAGGAATGGGCAGAGAGGGTTGAAGGAATGGGCAGAGAGGGATGAAGGAATGGGCAGAGAGGGATGAAGGGATGGGCAGAGAGGGATGAAGGGATGGGCAGAGAGGGATGAGGGAATGTGCACAGAGGGATGAATGGGCAGAGAGGGATGAAGGAATGGGCAGAGAGGGATGAAGGAATGGGCAGAGAGGGATGAAGGAATGGGCAGAGAGGGATGAAGGAATGGGCAGAGAGGGATGAAGGTATGGGCAGAGAGGGATGAAGGAATGGGCAGAGAGGGTTGAAGGAATGGGCAGAGAGGGATGAAGGGATGGTCAGAGAGGGATGAAGGAATGCGCAGAGAGGGATGAAGGAATGGGCAGAGAGGGATGAAGGAATGGGCAGAGAGGGATGAGAATGGGCAGAGAGGGATGAAGGAATGTGCTGAGAGGGATGAAGGAATGGGCAGAGAGGGATGAAGGAATGGGCAGAGAGGGATGAAGGTATGGGCAGAGAGGGATGAAGGAATGGGCAGAGATGGATGAAGGAATGGGCAGAGAGGGATGAAGGGATGGTCAGAGAGGGATGAAGGAATGGGCAGAGAGGGATGAAGGAATGGGCAGAGAGGGATGAAGGAATGTGCAGAGAGGGATGAAGGAATGGGCAGAGAGGGATGAAGGAATGGGCAGAGAGGGATGAAGGGATGGGCAGAGAGGGATGAAGGGATGGGCAGAGAGGGATGAAGGAAAGGGCTGAGAGGGATGAAGGAATGGGCAGAGAGGGACGAAGGAATGTGCAGAGAGGGATGAAGGTATGGGCAGAGAGGGATGAAGGAATGGGCAGAGAGGGTTGAAGGGATGGGCAGAGAGGGATGAAGGTATGGGCAGAGAGGGATGAAGGAATGTGCAGAGAGGGATGAACTGGCAGAGAGGGATGAAGGGTGGGCAGAGAGGGATGAAGGAATGGACAGAGAGGGATGAAGGTATGGGCAGAGAGGGATGAAGGAATGGGCAGAGAGGGTTGAAGGGATGGGCAGAGTCGGATGAAGGAATGGGCAGAGAGGGATGAAGGAATGGGCAGAGAGGGATGAAGGTATGGGCAGAGAGGGATGAAGGAATGGGCAGAGAGGGATGAAGGAATGTGCAGAGAGGGATGAAGGGATGGGCAGAGAGGGATGAAGGAATGTGCAGAGAGGGATGAAGGAATGGGCAGAGAGGGATGAAGGAATGGGCAGAGACGGATGAAGGAATGGGCAGAGAGGGATGAAGGAATGGGCAGAGAGCGTTGAAGGAATGGGCAGAGAGGGATGAAGGAATGGGCAGAGAGGGATGAAGGGATGGGCAGAGAGGGATGAAGGGATGGGCAGAGAGGGATGAGGGAATGTGCAGAGAGGGATGAATGGGCAGAGAGGGATGAAGGAATGGGCAGAGAGGGATGAAGGAATGGGCAGAGAGGGATGAAGGAATGGGCAGAGAGGGATGAAGGAATGGGCAGAGAGGGATGAAGGTATGGGCAGAGAGGGATGAAGGAATGGGCAGAGAGGGTTGAAGGAATGTGCAGAGAGGGATGAAGGAATGGGCAGAGAGGGATGAAGGAATGGGCAGAGAGGGATGAAGGGATGGGCAGAGAGGGATGAAGGGATGGGCAGAGAGGGATGAGGGAATGTGCAGAGAGGGATGAATGGGCAGAGAGGGATGAAGGAATGGGCAGAGAGGGATGAAGGAATGGGCAGAGAGGGATGAAGGAATGGGCAGAGAGGGATGAAGGAATGGGCAGAGAGGGATGAAGGTATGGGCAGAGAGGGATGAAGGAATGGGCAGAGAGGGTTGAAGGAATGGGCAGAGAGGGATGAAGGGATGGTCAGAGAGGGATGAAGGAATGCGCAGAGAGGGATGAAGGAATGGGCAGAGAGGGATGAAGGAATGGGCAGAGAGGGATGAAGGAATGGGCAGAGAGGGATGAAGGAATGGGCAGAGAGGGATGAAGGAATGTGCTGAGAGGGATGAAGGAATGGGCAGAGAGGGATGAAGGAATGGGCAGAGAGGGATGAAGGTGTTAGGATTAAGGACAGAGTCTAGGTGAACTTAGGAGCTAGAATTACTCAAAATATAAATCCGAAATTCTGGACAGAAAAGTCGTCTTCACAAGAAACGACGTCGACAAACAACTAGCCGTTGGAATGTCGCGAAACTTGGATATGTTGTAGCTCTTAATCTCAGCTACCGTTCCCAATTTGAATCATGTTGATTGATAAAGTATTCGCGACGCTATGGCTTTCGACGCACTAGGGGGTAAGCTGTAGGAGGAGAACTTAACTCAATCTCAAAGGTTCAATCAAAGTTCAAGAATCTCACAAGGAATTAGAAGGAGCAAGAGAAAGGTTGGGATAGGAAGAGAGGGATGAGAGGGAAGGTCCCAAGAGAGTCCCCAACCAAGGAAACCCCATAAGCACAAAGATTCCCTCCCTATAGGAACCCCAACTTTGACATTTGTCCCTTCCCAACCAATCCATCCAAGTTGGCCACCCTTGCCAACCTAGCTTGGTTGTTCCCAACCAATTTGCAGCTGTTACAGTAGAGTGACAAGTTTCCCCAACCCCAAAGGTCCCAACTCCATATAAAGTCACCCCACAACTTCACTTAGTAACCGCCGCAATTGTAACGCAAGCTCATGAACTTTGAATCTTCATAGCTTTCGCGTTCTTGCTCCGATTGAAGCGATTCTTGTTGCGTCGGAAAGATCTTCTCAAGATCTATTATCACAAATACCTGCTCAGACAGAATAACACAAAACACATTCCCAAACTCCAGAACACACCACACACAAATGCTTGCACATTCAAACCACACATGCAAGTTGAAAAAACATGGGATGGGAGGCAGACAGAATGTGATAGCATATGATGACATCACACAACAATCTCCCCCTCTGGCTGCCAACCATCATCGACCATACCACATCTCAAGCATGCATACTCAATGCACACTCATCCCAGCAAGCTTCATGCCCTTCCAATGATCCGCCTCCGCCAGACGCTTAGTGAAAATATCTGCTGCCTGCTGATGGGTCTTCACTATCTCCAGCCGCACCTCCTTATCAAGGAGTCTCCTCACCCAATGCCACTTAGGCCTTATGTGTTTTGTCAGCCCATGCAGACAAGCATTCTTGGCGAGCTTCACAGCGGACTCATTGTCACAAAACACAACTGTCGGCTTCTCCTGACCAACTCCCAACTCCTCCAACAAACGCCTCAGCCATACCACTTCCTTGGCCCCATGGTGTAAGGCCATGTACTCAGTCTCACATGAAGACAATCCCACCTCATTTTGCTTCTTGCTGCGCCAGCTCACAGCACCACCTCCTAGCAAGCACACATAACCCCCAATGCTGGTGCCATCCGCTTTCACTGAGTTGAAGCTAGCGTCAGTATAGCAACTCAAGAGCATCTCTCCACTCTTCACATCTGCAGCACCTCTCTGCAACCGCTGCCTCACTCCACTGTACTCCAATCCCACTGATGCCGTAGCACTCACATAGCGGACCAACCTCTTGGCCGCTTCCAGCTGCTCATGACTAGGGCGTGAGACCACACTAGCCAACCGTGATGTAGCAAATGCAATGTCAGGCCGTGTATGATTTGCAGGATAATTCAGCGACCCAACCATCGAATGAAACAGCTTCCTGTCACTATCACCCACTACCTCCTCATCAGCACATGGCTCCACAGTGAACCCCGAAGGTAGTGGTGTTGCTGGCTTTCCCCCATCTTGCAGCCCATACTTCTCAGCCAGCCCCTCACAGTACTTCCTCTGGTGCAACCTCAGCACACCCTTTTCCACATCTCTCTCCACGTGCATCCCCAAGTAGTACTTCGCCTCACCCATCTTGGAGCACTTGAACTGCATCTCCAGCATCTGCTCTGCGCTGTCCAGCAAAGCAGTTGATGCAGAAAAGAGAAGGATATCATCCACATACACCAAGAGCATGAGGATTTCGTCCTTCTCCTGCAGCAGGAACAGGCTGGGGTCACACTCACTCTTCTTGAAACCCCCAGCCAGCAGCGCCTCCTCCAACTTGTGATACCATGCACGAGGCGCCTGCTTAAGGCCATAGATGGCCTTCTTCAGCCTGCAGACCCTGCCGCTCCCATCATCCAGCCCCTCTGGCTGCTTCATGTACACCTCCTCCAGAATGATCCCATTCAGAAAGGCAGTCACAATGTCCATCTGCCGAATCTTCCATCCCAGGAGTGCAGCTATCGCCAACAGCACCCTCAATGTTGTTCCTTTCCCCACAGGAGCAAACACCTCATCATAGTCCTTCCCCTTTGTCTGCTGAAACCCCCGTGCCACAAGCCTAGACTTGTAGCGGGTCAGCTCCCCTTCAGGTCCATACTTGTGCCTGTAGATCATCTTGGAAGTGATTGCCTTCTTTCCAGGAGGCAAGTCACACAGGTCCCATGTCTCGTTCTCAATTAGGGACCCGAACTCCTCATCCTCACTCGCCTTCCACTTCTCCCCATTTGGTCCATTCAAGGCCTCTTCTCGAGTCTTGGGCTCAGGGATTGGTGCCCAGTAGCAGTGAGCGATCTCATCTTCCTCAATCTGCTCAACCACACTCCCAGCCTGCACCACATTCGGCTTGCCTCTTCCCCCATAGGTCAGCCTCACTGGAGGGCGCACATCCCTCCTAGGACGCTCAGGCGGGTGTGGAACTCGAGGTGGAGACTCATGCTGCTGCTGCTGCTGCTGCTCTACTTCAGCTGCTCCCCCTTCCTCAGTCACCCCAGACATCTCCTCCTCTGACACTGCAACCTCCACCTGTCTTGAAGGCTGCTGCACCTCATCTGCCTCCACAATGAGCGGTGTAGATGGAAGCTTCTGTTGCTGCTGCTTCCATTCCTTGTAGTACAGGGACTCAAGAAACTTCACATCCCTTGACACTGTCAACTTCTGGGTGGTCAAGTCCCATAGCAGCCACCCCTTGTGATCCTTTGCAATCCCCAAGTGCACACCCCATCTTCCAGAAGCCTCCAACTTCCCCCTTTTCTCCTTAGGCACATGAAACACCACCATGCACCCAAATGCCCTCAGCATGTTCACAGCTGGAGCACTCCCATACCACTTGACGTATGGGATCCACTCCTTATCTCCAACTGTAGCCAGCACCCTGTTCTTCACAAGGGCGACCTGCCTCAGTGCAGACACCCAAAACGGATCAGGCAGCCCTGCACGCCCAAGGAGAGTGCGTGCCCCCTCCTGCAGGGTCCTGTTGAACCTCTCAGCCACGCCATTCTGCTGTGGGTTGTAGGGCACTGTCAGTTGATGCTGGATCCCCTTCCTCTTCAACTCCCCCTCAAAATCAGCTCCAATGAACTCCCCACCATTGTCACTACGGATCACCTTCACCTTGTGTCCGCATTCCCTCTGAGCTCTCGGCATCCACTCTTTAAGGACAGCCGCTGCCACCTCCCCCTTGCTCTTCAAAGGGTAAACCCACACTGCCCGAGTGTGGTCATCCACAATTGTCAAGAAATAGCGGCTGCCTGAGAGGGAAGGGGCTCTTGTGGGCCCCACCACATCCATGTGCACAAGTGCAAGTGGGGTCTTGGATGGTCCAGTTGCACTGTTGAAGGGGAACTTGGAGAACTTGGTCTCCAAGCATGTAGGGCAGCTCCCAATCTCCTTCACTTCCCCTTTCACCTCCAAGCCCTTCAGGCTCCCATTCTTCACCAACTTCTGCAGCATAGGGAAGTTCACATGACACAACCTCTCATGCCATGTCTCCCAATCGGCCTCTCCACTCCTTGATGAAGCCTTAGCCCATGCCGCACTCGCATCCACACCAGCAAGCACCTCACCATGTGTCTGCTGCTGCTGCACTTTCTTGACTGCTTCCAGGACCCCATCAGTTGGTGCAGTTGCATCTCCTCCTGCTGTTGCCTTTGCCACTGCTGCCGTTGCTGCTGTTGGAGTCTTCCCATTCCAAGGGATGATGGGCAGCTGCCACAGGTCCTTGATGCAGCTGGTCTCCTCTTCCAGACTCCACAGCACCTTCTTCCCAAGCTTAGCACGGCAGCTGGTTGGTCCAAAGGTCACTTCGGCCTTACTCTTCTGCAGCCGCCGCACAGAGAGAAGGTTAGCAGACAAGCCTTTAACCAGCAGAACATTCCCAAGCCCCACAAGCTCCCCATTAGCTCCCTTAACCTTGGCATTCCCAACACCAATCACGGGGAGCAAAGCACCTGACGCTGCTGCCACATACTTAATCTTCCCAGGGGGTTTTACCTCATCAAGCAAATCTGCCCGTGGGGTCATGTGACTGGTGCAACCCGAATCAATCACCCAGTGCGTGAGAGGGTGCATCACAACCTTTCCCACAAATCCCACATCACCCTCATGCCCATGCACATCCTCAACCATAAGAAACAAACCAGGATAGGCATTACCTTGTGCACCTTCACCTTGTGCACCTGAGCCTTGCACAGCGCCACCTTGTGCGCGTTCACCACTGGGTGGCTTCATGCCTGGAGGTGCCCATCCCTCCGGCCTGCTGAAGCACTTGAACCAAGGATGCCCTATCTTCTTGCAGTACCAGCAGGTGCCCTCCATTCTGGTACTCCCCCTGCCACTAGAGCTCCCATGCCCCTCATTATAGTCACCTCGGCCTCTACCTCTGCCAAAGCTCCTCCCACGGCCTCGGCCTCTCCAACCCCCTCTTCCTCTGCCGCGCCCTGCAGCTCCATACCCCTCAGCAGTCTTAGTGGCAGCACCGCCTCCCACATGGCGTCTGCGGAAGTCCTCCTGCAGAATCTGCTGCCTTAGCCACTCAGGTGTCCATTGATCTTGTTGAGAGTTGAGGGTGGGGATGAGGTTGTCCCAAGAGTTGTCCAACACCGAGATGATCTTGGTGCACTGCTGCAGCTGAGATACACTGCTGCCCGCTGCTGCCATCCTTGCATAGGTGTCCTTGATCTTGTCAAGGACCGGCTTCACATCGTCCCCTGGTCGCATGGAGATGGCAGCAAGTTCCTTCTCGAGCACGATCACCATCAGGAGAGTGTTGGGCTGAATCACATCGCGTAGTAGTTTCCACGCCCTTGGACCCGAATCATCCGCTTCCACAAGATCCTTGATGTGCTCGAACATCTCCTTGTTGACCGATTGAAGGATGAGGTCGAAAAGCACCGTGCTTTTCTCAATCCACCGTTCACGTGCTTCGCCTTCTTCCGGCATCTTCTCTTCCCCAACAGCAATCTTCAGTAGCTTGTAGCGTTTGAAGGCACTCCTCATCCGTCCGCTCCATTCCTCATAGTTGGAGCCATCCAAAGCTTCAACTTTTGATGGCGGCGGCTCACTTGTCTTCTCAGGTACAGCTCCTCTTCCATTAGCATCTCCTCCTCTCTCATTCATCTTCTCCTTGAGAAATGACGAATTTCAGCTCCCCTTTGCTGTCCACACTCAGCTCCCTCGATATTTTCACAAGTGTCGGCGTCCACGAAATTTCGGCAGAGTTTCCCCTTAGCGGAAGACACATCCAACCTTTAGAACACCACTTAGGCACACCCACAGGCCATGGTGGGTCTAGAAGGGTCTTCAAACTTCTGTAGACTCCTCTCAATGTCCTTAATATTGCTCTGATGCCACTTGTTAGGATTAAGGACAGAGTCTAGGTGAACTTAGGAGCTAGAATTACTCAAAATATAAATCCGAAATTCTGGACAGAAAAGTCGTCTTCACAAGAAACGACGTCGACAAACAACTAGCCGTTGGAATGTCGCGAAACTTGGATATGTTGTAGCTCTTAATCTCAGCTACCGTTCCCAATTTGAATCATGTTGATTGATAAAGTATTCGCGACGCTATGGCTTTCGACGCACTAGGGGGTAAGCTGTAGGAGGAGAACTTAACTCAATCTCAAAGGTTCAATCAAAGTTCAAGAATCTCACAAGGAATTAGAAGGAGCAAGAGAAAGGTTGGGATAGGAAGAGAGGGATGAGAGGGAAGGTCCCAAGAGAGTCCCCAACCAAGGAAACCCCATAAGCACAAAGATTCCCTCCCTATAGGAACCCCAACTTTGACATTTGTCCCTTCCCAACCAATCCATCCAAGTTGGCCACCCTTGCCAACCTAGCTTGGTTGTTCCCAACCAATTTGCAGCTGTTACAGTAGAGTGACAAGTTTCCCCAACCCCAAAGGTCCCAACTCCATATAAAGTCACCCCACAACTTCACTTAGTAACCGCCGCAATTGTAACGCAAGCTCATGAACTTTGAATCTTCATAGCTTTCGCGTTCTTGCTCCGATTGAAGCGATTCTTGTTGCGTCGGAAAGATCTTCTCAAGATCTATTATCACAAATACCTGCTCAGACAGAATAACACAAAACACATTCCCAAACTCCAGAACACACCACACACAAATGCTTGCACATTCAAACCACACATGCAAGTTGAAAAAACATGGGATGGGAGGCAGACAGAATGTGATAGCATATGATGACATCACACAACAGGATGAAGGTATGGGCAGAGAGGGATGAAGGAATGGGCAGAGAGGGATGAAGGAATGGGCAGAGAGGGATGAAGGGATGGTCAGAGAGGGATGAAGGAATGGGCAGAGAGGGATGAAGGAATGGGCAGAGAGGGATGAAGGAATGTGCAGAGAGGGATGAAGGAATGGGCAGAGAGGGATGATGGAATGTGCTGAGAGGGATGAAGGAATGGGCAGAGAGGGATGAAGGAATGGGCAGAGAGGGATGAAGGAATGGGCAGAGAGGGATGAAGGAATGTGCAGAGAGGGATGAGGGAATGTGCAGAGAGGGATGAATGGGCAGAGAGGGATGAAGGAATGGGCAGAGAGGGATGAGGGAATGTGCAGAGAGGGACGAATGGGCAGAGAGGGATGAAGGAATGGGCAGAGAGGGATGAAGGTATGGGCAGAGAGGGATGAAGGTATGGGCAGAGAGGGATGAAGGAATGGGCAGATAGGGATGAAGGGATGGGCAGAGAGGGATGAAGGAATGGGCTGAGAGGGATGAAGGGATGGTCAGAGAGGATGAAGGAATGGGCAGAGAGGGATGAAGGAATGGGCAGAGAGGGATGAAGGAATGTGCAGAGAGGGATGAAGGAATGGGCAGAGAGGGATGATGGAATGAGCTGCACGTGAACGGTGGATTGAGAAAAGCACGGTGCTTTTCGACCTCATCCTTCAATCGGTCAACAAGGAGATGTTCGAGCACATCAAGGATCTTGTGGAAGCGGATGATTCGGGTCCAAGGGCGTGGAAACTACTACGCGATGTGATTCAGCCCAACACTCTCCTGATGGTGATCGTGCTCGAGAAGGAACTTGCTGCCATCTCCATGCGACCAGGGGACGATGTGAAGCCGGTCCTTGACAAGATCAAGGACACCTATGCAAGGATGGCAGCAGCGGGCAGCAGTGTATCTCAGCTGCAGCAGTGCACCAAGATCATCTCGGTGTTGGACAACTCTTGGGACAACCTCATCCCCACCCTCAACTCTCAGCAAGATCAATGGACACCTGAGTGGCTAAGGCAGCAGATTCTGCAGGAGGACTTCCGCAGACGCCATGTGGGAGGCGGTGCTGCCACTAAGACTGCTGAGGGGTATGGAGCTGCAGGGCGCAGCAGAGGAAGAGGGGGTTGGAGAGGCCGAGGCCGTGGGAGAAGCTTTGGCAGAGGTAGAGGCCGAGGTGACTATAATGAGGGGCATGGGAGCTCCAGTGGCAGGGGGAGTACCAGAATGGAGGGCACCTGCTGGTACTGCAAGAAGGTCGGGCATCCTTGGTTCAAGTGCTTCAGCAGGCTGGAGGGATGGTCACCTCCAGGCATGAAGCCGCCAAGTGGTGAACGCGCACAAGGTGGCGCTGTGCAAGGCTCAGGTGCACAAGGTGAAGGTGCACAAGGTAACGCCTATCCTGGGATGTATCTCATGGTTGAGGATGTGCATGGGCATGAGGGTGATGTGGGATCTGTCGGAAAGGTTGTGATGCACCCTCTCACGCACTGGGTGATTGATTCGGGTTGCACCAGTCACATGACTCCACGGGCAGATTTGCTTGATGAGGTAAAACCCCCTGGGAAGATTAAGTATGTGGCAGCAGCGTCAGGTGCTTTGCTCCCCGTGATTGGTGTTGGGAATGCCAAGGTTAAGGGAGCTAATGGGGAGCTTGTGGGGCTTGGGAATGTTCTGCTGGTTGAAGGCTTGTCTGCTAACCTTCTCTCTGTGCGACGACTGCAGAAGAGCAAGGCCGAAGTGACCTTTGGACCAACCAGCTGCCGTGCTAAGCTTGGGAAGAAGGTGCTGTGGAGTCTGGAAGAGGAGACCAGCTGCATCAAGGACCTGTGGCAGCTGCCCATCATCCCATGGAATGGGAAGACTCCAACAGCAGCAACGGCAGCAGCGGCAAAGGCAACAGCAGGAGGAGATGCAACTGCACCAACTGATGGGGTCCTGGAAGCAGTCAAGAAAGTGCAGCAGCAGCAGACACATGGTGAGGTGCTTGCTGGTGTGGATGCAAGTGCGGCATGGGCTAAGGCTTCACCAAGGAGTGGAGAGGCCGATTGGGAGACATGGCATGAGAGGCTGTGTCATGTGAACTTCCCTATGCTGCAGAAGTTGGTGAAGGATGGGAGCCTGAAGGGCTTGGAGGTGAAAGGGGGAGTGAAGGAGATTGGGAGCTGCCCTACATGCTTGGAGACCAAGTTCTCCAAGTTCCCCTTCAACAGCACTACAGGACCAGCCAAGACCCCACTTGCACTTGTGCATATGGATGTGGTGGGGCCCACAAGAGCCCCTTCCCTCTCAGGCAGCCGCTATTTCTTGACAATTGTGGATGACCACACTCGGGCAGTGTGGGTTTACCCTTTGAAGAGCAAGGGGGAGGTGGCAGCGGCTGTCCTTAAGGAGTGGATGCCGAGAGCTCAGAGGGAATGCGGACACAAGGTGAAGGTGATCCGTAGTGACAATGGTGGGGAGTTCATTGGAGCTGATTTTGAGGGGGAGTTGAAGAGGAAGGGGATCCAGCATCAACTGACAGTGCCCTACAACCCGCAGCAGAATGGCGTGGCTGAGAGGTTCAACAGGACCCTGCAGGAGGGGGCACGCACTCTCCTTGGGCGTGCAGGGCTACCTGATCCGTTTTGGGTGTCTGCACTGAGGCAGGTCGCCCTTGTGAAGAATAGAGTGCTGGCTACAGTTGGGGATAAGGAGTGGATCCCATATACCAAGTGGTATGGGAGTGCTCCAGCTGTGAATATGCTGAGGGCATTTGGGTGCATGGTAGTGTTTCATGTGCCTAAGGAGAAAAGAGGGAAGTTGGAGGCTTCTGGAAGATGGGGTGTGCACTTGGGGATTGCAAAGGATCACAAGGGATGGCTTCTATGGGACTTGACCATCCAGAAGCTGACAGTGTCAAGGGATGTGAAGTTTCTTGAGTCCCTGTACTATAAGGAATGGAAGCAGCAGCAACAGAAGCTTCCATCTACACCACTCATTGTGGAGGCAGATGAGTTGCAGCAGCCTTCAAGGCAGGTGGAGGTTGCAGTGTCTGAGGAGGAGATATCTGGGGTGACTGAAGAAGGGGGAGCAGCTGAAGTGGAGCAGCAACAGCAACATGAGTCTCCACCTCGAGTTCCACACCCGCCTGAGCGACCTAGGAGGGATGTGCGCCCTCCTGTGAGGCTGACCTATGGGGGAAGAGGCAAGCCAAATGTGGTGCAGGCTGGGAGTGTGGTTGAGCAGATTGAGGAAGATGAGATCGCTCACTGCTACTGGGCACCAATCCCTGAGCCCAAGACTCGAGAGGAGGCCTTGAATGGACCAAATGGGGAGAAGTGGAAGGCGAGTGAGGATGAGGAGTTCGGGTCCCTAATTGAGAACGAGACATGGGACCTGTGTGACTTGCCTCCTGGAAAGAAGGCAATCACTTCCAAGATGATCTACAGGCACAAGTATGGACCTGAAGGGGAGCTGACCCGCTACAAGTCTAGGCTTGTGGCACGGGGGTTTCAGCAGACAAAGGGGAAGGACTATGATGAGGTGTTTGCTCCTGTGGGGAAAGGAACAACACTGAGGGTGCTGTTGGCGATAGCTGCACTCCTGGGATGGAAGATACGGCAGATGGACATTGTGACTGCCTTTCTGAATGGGATCATTCTGGAGGAGGTGTACATGAAACAGCCAGAGGGGCTGGATGACGGGAGCGGCAGGGTCTGCAGGCTGAAGAAGGCCATCTATGGCCTTAAGCAGGCGCCTCGTGCATGGTATCACAAGTTGGAGGAGGCGCTGTTGGCTGGGGGTTTCAAGAAGAGTGAGTGTGACCCCAGCCTGTTCCTGCTGCAGGAGAAGGATGAAATCCTCATGCTCTTGGTGTATGTGGATGATATCCTTCTCTTTTCTGCATCCACTGCTTTGCTGGACAGCGCAGAGCAGATGCTGGAGATGCAGTTCAAGTGCTCCAAGATGGGTGAGGTGAAGTACTACTTGGGGATGCACGTGGAGAGAGATGTGGAAAAGGGTGTGCTGAGGTTGCACCAGAGGAAGTACTGTGAGGGGCTGGCTGAGAAGTATGGGCTGCAAGATGGGGGAAAGCCAGCAACACCACTACCTTCAGGGTTTACTGTGGAGCCATGTGCTGATGAGGAGGTAGTGGGTGAGAGTGACAGGAAGCTGTTTCATTCGATGGTTGGGTCGCTGAATTATGCTGCAAATCATACACGGCCTGACATTGCATTTTCTACATCACGGTTGGCTAGTGTGGTCTCACGCCCTAGTCATGAGCAGCTGGAAGCGGCCAAGAGGTTGGTCCGCTATGTGAGTGCTACGGCATCAGTGGGATTGGAGTACAGTGGAGTGAGGCAGCGGTTGCAGAGAGGTGCTGCAGATGTGAAGAGTGGAAAGATGCTCTTGAGTTGCTATACTGACGCTAGCTTCAACTCAGTGAAAGCGGATGGCACCAGCATTGGGGGTTATGTGGCTTGCTAGGAGGTGGTGCTGTGAGCTGGCGCAGCAAGAAGCAGAATGAGGTGGGATTGTCTTCATGTGAGACTGAGTACATGGCCTTACACCATGGGGCCAAGGAAGTGGTATGGCTGAGGCGTTTGTTGGAGGAGTTGGGAGTTGGTCAGGAGGAGCCGACAGTTGTGTTCTGTGACAATGAGTCTGCAGTGAAGCTGGCCAAGAATGCTTGTCTGCATGGGCTGACAAAACACATAAGGCCTAAGTGGCATTGGGTGAGGAGAATCCTTGATAAGGAGGTGCGGCTGGAGATAGTGAAGACCCATCAGCAGGCAGCAGATATTTTCACTAAGCGTCTTGCGGAGGCGGATCATTGGAAGGGCATGAAGCTTGCTGGGATGAGTGTGCATTGAGTATGCATGCTTGAGATGTGGTATGGTCGATGATGGTTGGCAGCCAGAGGGGGAGATTGTTGTGTGATGTCATCATATGCTATCACATTCTGTCTGCCTCTCATCTCTTGTTTCAATTCGTATGTATGGTTTGACTGTGTGTGAAAGAATTTGTGTGTGGTGTGTTCTGGAGTTTGGGAATGTGTTTTGTGTTATTCTGTCTGAGCAGGTATTTGTGATGATAGATCTTGAGAAGATCTTTCCGACGCAACAAGAATCGCTTCAATCGGAGCAAGAATGCGAAAGCTATGAAGATTCAAAGTTCATGAGCTTGCGTTACAATTGCGGCGGTTACAAAGTGAAGTTGTGGGGTGACTTTATATGGAGTTGGGACCTTTGGGGTTGGGGAAACTTGTCACTCTACTGTAACAGCTGCAAATTGGTTGGGAACAACCAAGCTAGGTTGGCAAGGGTGGCCAACTTGGATGGATTGGTTGGGAAGGGACAAATGTCAAAGTTTGGGTTCCTATAGGGAGGGAATCTTTGTGCTTATGGGGTTTCCTTGGTTGGGGACTCTCTTGGGACCTCCCCTCTCATCCCTCTCTTCCTATCCCAACCTTTCTCTTGCTCCTTCTAATTCCTTGTGAGATTCTTGAACTTTGATTGAACCTTTGAGATTGAGTTAAGTTCTCCTCCTACAGCTTACCCCCTAGTGCGTCGAAAGCCATAGCGTCGCGAATACTTTATCAATCAACATGATTCAAATTGGGAACGGTAGCTGAGATTAAGAGCTACAACATATCCAAGTTTCGCGACATTCCAACGGCTAGTTGTTTGTCGACGTCGTTTCTTGTGAAGACGACTTTTCTGTCCAGAATTTCGGATTTATATTTTGAGTAATTCTAGCTCCTAAGTTCACCTAGACTCCGTCCTTAATCCTAACACAGAGAGGGATGAAGGGATGGGCAGAGAGGGATGAAGTAATGGGCAGAGAGGGATGAAGGAATGGGCAGAGAGGGATGAAGGAATGTGCAGAGAGGGATGAAGGAATGGGCAGAGAGGGATGAAGGGATGGGCAGAGAGGGATGAAGGGATGGGCAGAGAGGGATGAAGGAATGGGCTGAGAGGGATGAAGGATTGGGCAGAGAGGGACGAAGGGATGGGCAGAGAGGGATGAAGGAATGGGCAGAGAGGGATGAAGGAATGGGCAGAGAGGGATGAAGGAATGGGCAGAGAGGGATGAAGGTATGGGCAGAGAGGGATGAAGGAATGGGCAGAGAGGGATGAAGGAATGGGCAGAGAGGGATGAATGGGCAGAGAGGGATGAAGGAATGGGCAGAGAGGGATGAAGGAATGGGCAGAGAGGGATGAAGGTATGGGCAGAGAGGGATGAAGGAATGGGCAGAGAGGGATGAAGGAATGGGCAGAGAGGGATGAAGGAATGTGCAGAGAGGGATGAAGGAATGGGCAGAGAGGGATGAAGGAATGGGCAGAGAGGGATGAAGGAATGGGCAGAGAGGGTTGAAGGGATGAGCAGAGAGGGATGAAGGAATGTGCAGAGAGGGATGAATGGGCAGAGAGGGATGAAGGGTGGGCAGAGAGGGATGAAGGAATGGACAGAGAGGGATGAAGGTATGGGTAGAGAGGGATGAAGGAATGGGCAGAGAGGGTTGAAGGGATGGGCAGAGTGGGATGAAGGAATGGGCAGAGAGGGATGAAGGAATGGGCAGAGAGGGATGAAGGAATGGGCAGAGAGGGATGAAGGAATGTGCAGAGAGGGATGAGGGAATGTGCAGAGAGGGATGAATGGGCAGAGAGGGATGAAGGAATGGGCAGAGAGGGATGAGGGAATGTGCAGAGAGGGACGAATGGGCAGAGAGGGATGAAGGAATGGGCAGAGAGGGATGAAGGTATGGGCAGAGAGGGATGAAGGTATGGGCAGAGAGGGATGAAGGAATGGGCAGATAGGGATGAAGGGATGGGCAGAGAGGGATGAAGGAATGGGCTGAGAGGGATGAAGGATTGGGCAGAGAGGGACGAAGGGATGGGCAGAGAGGGATGAAGGAATGGGCAGAGAGGGATGAAGGAATGGGCAGAGTGGGATGAAGGAATGGGCAGAGAGGGATGAAGGAATGAGCAGAGAGGGATGAAGGAATGTGCAGAGAGGGATGAGGGAATGTGCAGAGAGGGATGAATGGGCAGAGAGGGATGAAGGAATGGGCAGAGAGGGATGAGGGAATGTGCAGAGAGGGACGAATGGGCAGAGAGGGATGAAGGAATGGGCAGAGAGGGATGAAGGTATGGGCAGAGAGGGATGAAGGTATGGGCAGAGAGGGATGAAGGAATGGGCAGAGAGGGATGAAGGGATGGGCAGAGAGGGATGAAGGAATGGGCTGAGAGGGATGAAGGATTGGGCAGAGAGGGACGAAGGGATGGGCAGAGAGGGATGAAGGAATGGGCAGAGAGGGATGAAGGAATGGGCAGAGAGGGATCAAGGAATGTGCTGAGAGGGATGAAGGAATGGGCAGAGAGGGATGAAGGAATGTGCAGAGAGGTATGAAGGGATGGGCAGAGAGGGATGAAGGAATGTGCAGAGAGGGATGAAGGAATGGGCAGAGAGGGATGAAGGAATGGGCAGAGACGGATGAAGGAATGGGCAGAGAGGGATGAAGGAATGGGCAGAGAGCGTTGAAGGAATGGGCAGAGAGGGATGAAGGAATGGGCAGAGAGGGATGAAGGGATGGGCAGAGAGGGATGAGGGAATGTGCAGAGAGGGATGAATGGGCAGAGAGGGATGAAGGAATGGGCAGAGAGGGATGAAGGAATGGGCAGAGAGGGATGAAGGAATGGGCAGAGAGGGATGAAGGAATGGGCAGAGAGGGATGAAGGTATGGGCAGAGAGGGATGAAGGAATGGGCAGAGAGGGTTGAAGGAATGGGCAGAGAGGGATGAAGGGATGGTCAGAGAGGGATGAAGGAATGCGCAGAGAGGGATGAAGGAATGGGCAGAGAGGGATGAAGGAATGGGCAGAGAGGGATGAAGGAATGGGCAGAGAGGGATGAAGGAATGGGCAGAGAGGGATGAAGGAATGTGCTGAGAGGGATGAAGGAATAGGCAGAGAGGGATGAAGGAATGGGCAGAGAGGGATGAAGGTATGGGCAGAGAGGGATGAAGGAATGGGCAGAGAGGGATGAAGGAATGGGCAGAGAGGGATGAAGGGATGGTCAGAGAGGGATGAAGGAATGGGCAGAGAGGGATGAAGGAATGGGCAGAGAGGGATGAAGGAATGTGCAGAGAGGGATGAAGGAATGGGCAGAGAGGGATGAAGGAATGGGCAGAGAGGGATGAAGGGATGGGCAGAGAGGGATGAAGGGATGGGCAGAGAGGGATGAAGGAAAGGGCTGAGAGGGATGAAGGAATGGGCAGAGAGGGACGAAGGAATGTGCAGAGAGGGATGAAGGTATGGGCAGAGAGGGATGAAGGAATGGGCAGAGAGGGTTGAAGGGATGGGCAGAGAGGGATGAAGGTATGGGCAGAGAGGGATGAAGGAATGTGCAGAGAGGGATGAACTGGCAGAGAGGGATGAAGGGTGGGCAGAGAGGGATGAAGGAATGGACAGAGAGGGATGAAGGTATGGGCAGAGAGGGATGAAGGAATGGGCAGAGAGGGTTGAAGGGATGGGCAGAGTGGGATGAAGGAATGGGCAGAGAGGGATGAAGGAATGGGCAGAGAGGGATGAAGGTATGGGCAGAGAGGGATGAAGGAATGGGCAGAGAGGGATGAAGGAATGTGCAGAGAGGGATGAAGGAATGGGCAGAGAGGGATGAAGGAATGAGCAGAGAGTGATGAAGGAATGGGCAGAGAGGGAAGAAGGTATGGGCAGAGAGGGATTAAGGAATGGGCAGAGAGGGATGAAGGAATGTGCAGAGAGGGATGAAGGAATGGGCAGAGAGGGATGAAGGAATGGGCTTAGAGGGATGAAGGAATGGGCAGAGAGGGATGAAGGAATGAGCAGAGAGGGATGAAGGAATGGGCTGAGAGGGATGAAGGAATGGGCAGAGAGGGATGAAGGTATGGGCAGAGAGGGATGAAGTGTTGGGCAGAGAGGGATGAAGGAATGAGCAGAGAGGGATGAAGGAATGGGCAGAGAGGGATGAAGGAATGGGCAGAGAGGGATGAAGGAATGTGCAGAGAGGGATGAAGGAATGGGCAGAGAGGGATGAAGGAATGGGCACAGAGGGATGAAGGAATGGGCAGAGAGGGTTGAAGGGATGGGCAGAGAGGGATGAAGGAATGGGCAGAGAGGGATGAAGGGATGGGCAGAGAGGGATGAAGTAATGGGCAGAGAGGGATGAAGGAATGGGCAGAGAGGGATGAAGGAATGTGCAGAGAGGGATGAAGGAATGGGCAGAGAGGGATGAAGGGATGGGCAGAGAGGGATGAAGGGATGGGCAGAGAGGGATGAAGGAATGGGCTGAGAGGGATGAAGGATTGGGCAGAGAGGGACGAAGGGATGGGCAGAGAGGGATGAAGGAATGGGCAGAGAGGGATGAAGGAATGGGCAGAGAGGGATGAAGGAATGGGCAGAGAGGGATGAAGGTATGGGCAGAGAGGGATGAAGGAATGGGCAGAGAGGGATGAAGGAATGGGCAGAGAGGGATGAATGGGCAGAGAGGGATGAAGGAATGGGCAGAGAGGGATGAAGGAATGGGCAGAGAGGGATGAAGGTATGGGCAGAGAGGGATGAAGGAATGGGCAGAGAGGGATGAAGGAATGGGCAGAGAGGGATGAAGGAATGTGCAGAGAGGGATGAAGGAATGGGCAGAGAGGGATGAAGGAATGGGCAGAGAGGGATGAAGGAATGGGCAGAGAGGGTTGAAGGGATGAGCAGAGAGGGATGAAGGAATGTGCAGAGAGGGATGAATGGGCAGAGAGGGATGAAGGGTGGGCAGAGAGGGATGAAGGAATGGACAGAGAGGGATGAAGGTATGGGTAGAGAGGGATGAAGGAATGGGCAGAGAGGGTTGAAGGGATGGGCAGAGTGGGATGAAGGAATGGGCAGAGAGGGATGAAGGAATGGGCAGAGAGGGATGAAGGAATGGGCAGAGAGGGATGAAGGAATGGGCAGAGAGGGATGAAGGAATGGGCAGAGAGGGATGAAGGAATGGGCAGAGAGGGATGAAGGAATGGGCAGAGAGTGATGAAGGAATGGGCAGAGAGGGAAGAAGGTATGGGCAGAGAGGGATGAAGGAATGGGCACAGAGGGATGAAGGGATGGTCAGAGAGGGATGAAGGAATGCGCAGAGAGGGATGAAGGGATGGGCAGAGAGGGATGAAGTAATGGGCAGAGAGGGATGAAGGAATGGGCAGAGAGGGAAGAAGGTATGGGCAGAGAGGGATGAAGGAATGGGCACAGAGGGATGAAGGGATGGTCAGAGAGGGATGAAGGAATGCGCAGAGAGGGATGAAGGGATGGGCAGAGAGGGATGAAGTAATGGGCAGAGAGGGATGAAGGAAAGGGCAGAGAGGGATGAAGGTATGGGCAGAGAGGGATGAAGGAATGGGCAGAGAGGGATGAAGGAATGGGCAGAGAGGGATGAAGGAATGTGCAGAGAGGGATGAAGGAATGGGCAGAGAGGGATGAAGGAATGGGCAGAGAGGGATGAAGGAATGGGCAGAGAGGGATGAAGGAATGTGCAGAGAGGGATGAAGGAATGGGCACAGAGGGATGAAGGGATGGGCAGAGAGGGATGAAGGGATGGGCAGAGAGGGATGAAGGAATGGGCTGAGAGGGATGAAGGATTGGGCAGAGAGGGACGAAGGGATGGGCAAGGAGGGATGAAGGAATGGGCAGAGAGGGATGAAGGAATGGGCAGAGAGGGATGAAGGAATGGGCAGAGAGGGATGAAGGAATGGGCAGAGAGGGATGAAGGAATGGGCAGAGAGGGATGAAGGAATGGGCAGAGAGGGATGAAGGAATGGGCAGAGAGGGATGAAGGAATGGGCAGAGAGGGATGAAGGAATGGGCAGAGAGGGATGAAGGAATGGGCAGAGAGTGATGAAGGAATGGGCAGAGAGGGAAGAAGGTATGGGAAGAGAGGGATGAAGGAATGGGCACAGAGGGATGAAGGGATGGTCAGAGAGGGATGAAGGAATGCGCAGAGAGGGATGAAGGGATGGGCAGAGAGGGATGAAGTAATGGGCAGAGAGGGATGAAGGAATGGGCAGAGAGGGAAGAAGGTATGGGCAGAGAGGGATGAAGGAATGGGCACAGAGGGATGAAGGGATGGTCAGAGAGGGATGAAGGAATGCGCAGAGAGGGATGAAGGGATGGGCAGAGAGGGATGAAGTAATGGGCAGAGAGGGATGAAGGAAAGGGCAGAGAGGGATGAAGGTATGGGCAGAGAGGGATGAAGGAATGGGCAGAGAGGGATGAAGGAATGGGCAGAGAGGGATGAAGGAATGTGCAGAGAGGGATGAAGGAATGGGCAGAGAGGGATGAAGGAATGGGCAGAGAGGGATGAAGGAATGGGCAGAGAGGGATGAAGGAATGTGCAGAGAGGGATGAAGGAATGGGCACAGAGGGATGAAGGGATGGGCAGAGAGGGATGAAGGGATGGGCAGAGAGGGATGAAGGAATGGGCTGAGAGGGATGAAGGATTGGGCAGAGAGGGACGAAGGGATGGGCAGAGAGGGATGAAGGAATGGGCAGAGAGGGATGAAGGAATGGGCAGAGAGGGATGAAGGAATGGGCAGAGAGGGATGAAGGAATGGGCAGAGAGGGATGAAGGTATGGGCAGAGAGGGATGAAGGTATGGGCAGAGAGGGATGAAGGAATGGGCAGAGAGGGATGAAGGAATGGGCAGAGAGGGATGAATGGGCAGAGAGGGATGAAGGAATGGGCTGAGAGGGATGAAGGAATGGGCAGAGAGGGATGAAGGTATGGGCAGATAGGGATGAAGGAATGGGCAGAGAGGGATGAAGGAATGGGCAGAGAGGGATGAAGGAATGGGCAGAGAGGGTTGAAGGGATGAGCAGAGAGGGATGAAGGAATGTGCAGAGAGGGATGAATGGGCAGAGAGGGATGAAGGAATGGGTAGAGGGGGATGAAGGGATGGGCAGAGTGGGATGAAGGAATGGGTAGAGAGGGATGAAGGAATGTGCAGAGAGGGATGAAGGAATGGGCAGAGAGGGATGAAGGAATGTGCAGAGAGGGATGAAGGGATGGGCAGAGAACGCTGTTTCTTGTTTGATTTCAGACATGGTGGATTTGGTGGGTACAAGAATGAGAGTGCCATTACTTTTATACTTCCCGTAATTCCCCCAAACAGGTGTGTGTGTGGAGATTTCCACAAGGAAACATTGAATGGGGTAACCCTTACCACGCTTTGATGTGCGACGTGATGCACATGTCCCCACTTGGAGTGTTTAAACACATGGTAGATTCTCTCCGAAACATCCTCAAGGGGGGCAGGGGGGAAGTGGACAAGCGGCCACTGTTCAATGATGCACTTTGTCGCATCACTGAGTACAGTAGACAATCGTTCTTCCGCCTACCAGGGAAGGGGAAGAGGTATTTCGCAAATGTTGGCACATTTTATGCATTTGAACATCAAGCAGTGATGCAGGTTCTGCCTGTGCTCCTTCAACAGATGGGGGCAAAAAAGGAGGTGGTAGATACTGTTTCGATGTATGTCTACTGGCACTCGGAGGTGTGGCTGCGACCCTATCATACAGAGGCGACGCTGATACACCTCGCGTCCCTCACATGATTGTAAGGGCACACTTGTGATGTGATTATTATTTAGGCATCATTATCTTTGAGTCTACTAGACTCTGGTGTGCATCCCACCACTCCTCTTTCCATCACTTTCATACCACGTACAAGCCCAAGGGTCTGATCATTGCAAACTCATGATCGTGTTCTTTGCAAGAAGGTTCCATGGCATTTCCCTATATTGCTCCCACCCCAGGCTGATCCCTCTCCTTATCACGCACTTTGGAGCCGGACAAAATTCAGAGTTCATGATTCCAAAAGTGCACGCGATGGTGCATGTTCCAGAGGATATCTGTCGTGGCGGTTTGCCAGTACACTACTGCACCGATTTTTACGAGCATCTTCACATCTCCATGCTGAAGAGACCATATCGTGGGAGCAACAAGAAGAATTATGAGGAGCACATCACACGTCGTGCTCTGGTTGGCGAGCTCGTAGATGCAATATCTAGGGACGATGAGGACAAGGAGGATGCGGAAGTTCGAGCTGTAGCTCTACGTGTGGTGAGTTTGCTAATGGCTGTCCTCTCTGCCCATCCCTTTTTCCCTCTCATCCCATCCTCTTATCCCCACCATCCCCACCCCTTCATCCCTCTCATCCCCACCCTTCATCCCTCTGATCCCATCCTCTTATCCCCATCATCCCCATCCCTCCATCCCTCTCATCCCATCCCTTGTTCCCTCTGATCCCGTCCCTTCATACCTCTGATCCCGTCCCTTATCCCCACCATCCCCATCCCTTCATCCCTCTCATCCCATCCTCTTATCCCCATCATCCTCACCCCTTCATCCCTCTCATCCCCACCCTTCATCCCTCTGATCCCATCCTCTTATCCCCACCATCCCCATCCCTTCATCCCTCTCATCCCATCCCTTGTTCCCTCTGATCCCGTCCCTTCATCCCTCTGATCCCGTCCCTTCATCCCTCTGATCCCGTCCCTTCATCCCTCTGATCCCATCCTCTTATCCCCACCATCCCCATCCCTTCATCCCTCTGATCCCATCCTCTTATCCCCATCATCCCCATCCCTTCATCCCTCTCATCCCATCCCCTGTTCCCTCTGATCCCGTCCCTTCATCCCTCTGATCCCGTCCCTTATCCCCACCATCCCCATCCCTTCATCCCTCTCATCCCATCCCTTGTTCCCTCTGATCCCATCCCTTCATCCCTCTGATCCCATCCTCTTATCCCCACCATCCCCATCCCTTCTTCCGTCTGATCCCATCCCTTGTTCCATCTCATCCCGTCCCTTGTTCCCTCTCATCGCTCTCAGCCCACCCATCCCATCCCCGCATTCGTGTCCTTCCCATCCCTCCCTAATTCACTCTCTACCAGGCCTTGGAGAGTGGAACGCCAACTGGCACAGGTCGGAATGGTCAGATCAACATGGACCAGCCAACTGGCAACCATTGGCAGCAACTGTGTGCCACTCCTGGGGACATGGACCGTTTACAACCAACCATTCGAGGATCGCTGTTGGCTGGAGAAACATGCGATGCCACCATTCACCTGCACACTGGTGTAGGTATCCCAGGAGGTGAGAACTATGATTTGTACAGCAGGCATGCTCAGTATGCCAGAGCCACACCTTCATTCTACGGGAAACCTTGGTACTCTGATGTATCTAGAAAGGAGGCAGTGGCAGGACAGGTCCATCGCGTGCGTTTTGGCAAGCTGCTGCTCATGTTCACCCTTACAAAAACCACCATGCTGACGGAGAATGGGGTTCGGGTCAAAGAGATTATGCAAGACCAGATGGGCTTCATCAGGAACTATGAGAGCACAGGTCCTACTGAAGATTATGACTTGGAGAGGTTGGTTTGGAGCGCAGGGGTAGACGAGTACTCTGTTTTTCCCATTTCCCACATCCTGCGCACTCTGCATGTGGTCCCTACCAGGGCTGTCGTTTCAAAAAATAGCACCCTGAGCTGTCGAATGGGAAAAAAAAATTACCCTGCGGGCCTTGTGTTGGAATTTTAGCTTCCCTGATTTCTCAGTGTTCTGGAACTTACAACCCTGAAACCTCCAGGGTTGGCTAGCCACAAACAGGGTTGCATTGCTGAGCAACGAACGCGTTCAGGGTTGCTTTCAACACGAGGGGGGAATAAAAAATGGGGGGAAAAAGGGGAGGGAATCAGTTGACCACAGGGGCAATAAAAAAACACCTGGAACACACATCAAAGTTTTGAATGAGACTTTCACATATTTTTTTTAACTGCATTGGAATGAGAGTAAATTCCGCATTTTAAACATAGGGAAATTCTCGCCAGTTGCCCATTTGGTCAACTGAAAGTCTAACAAAATGTAACGGTCACGATCGTTTGCGATCATTTCGACAAATATCAATCGTTCGATGGTAGGTAGTGATTAACGTCCAGGATTTCCCAACCGGGGCGCTGCAAGGGCGCGAAATTTCTCCCACCGCCTTATGCCCCAGCTTCCCCCCTTCCTGCCATTTTGATTCCCCCCTTCCCCTCCATTTTCGATTCCCCCCTCCCCTCCGTTTCGATCACTTCCCCCTTCCCCTCCGTTCGCTTCCCCCATCCTCTCTGTTTCGACCCCCCCCCCCCACGTTCCCCCCCTCTCCCCTCCGTTTCGCTTCCCCCCTCCCCCCTATTTTGATTCCCTCCCCATTTTCCCGTCGGTTTCGATTCACCCTCCCCTCAGTTTCAATTTCCGTGGCTGTGCGATTTTACCCCCTCGATTTTTAGGAATGGCTTTCCCGTTTCCCACATTTATCAACGCAAAACAAGGGTTGACCGGGTTGCTGGTAGGGGGGTGGCGACCCCTGGTTGTGGGAGTGTGGGAGGGGGGATACCTTGTGTACAATAGGACTAAGCTGTTTTTTTTGTGTGCTGTCACTGCCTATCAAGACTTAGCTAATTTTTGTGGGTTGTTGTTACCAGGTGTGTAGGGGGGATGTCTGTACGACACATGACTTAGCCGATTTTTGTGGGTTGCTTGGTGTGTGAGGGAATGTTTGAGGACTTCACCAATTTTTGTAGGTTGTTGTGTGTGGGGGGGAATGTCTCTGGAGATTGGGGACTTCGACTAAATTTCCGCATTGTGAGCTACATGGATGTCGCACTCAGAGTTCGTACGCGTTACTCCCTGAAAACTCAGGTTTGGGATAACGCAAACCCTGAAATTCTAAGTGTTCACAGACATACAACCCTGAAGAGGTTAGGGTTAAAAAAAGACCAACCCTGAAAATTAGGGGTTGGCCAAAAAAATACCCTGTGAAATCAGGGAATCAGGGTAAAATACCCTGATAGCGACAGCCCTGGTCCCTACATCTCCAGACCCCAAAGCACCTAGCGCCACCTTTATTTTGAACACGTTTAGGCGATAAGCACATAGACCTAGTTCGCAATGAAATTGCTTGGTCAGCGTAGCACTTAAGACATATATCTTGTGTTCTGGTGGGTTTATTATTCACACCGATGGAGGCAGATTACTTGTGCAACCCACGAAGCATTTTGCAATTTCATCATAGACGATATTGTTAAATAATGATCATATAATTAGAATATTGTGTGTCTTCTTTCCAGTGCAGTTTAGTATGGTTGTGTAGGGTATTTGTGGGAAAGTACGTCTCGGACGCGCTATAGGAACGCCCCATTCAGTGCTGTGAGGTGCTTTTCGGCTGGTGCGTTTTGTGCCAACGGCCCGCAACCACGGAGACAGGTGAGGTGGCAGCGGGACTGCAGGAATTATTCGGCCAGGTGCGTTTTGTCTGTACCCGACTGTAAAGCGCCACATCAGCACCCCTTCCCCCCAACAGCGAGAACCAAACCAGGCTTGTAAGGTTTTGGCGCAAACGCTTTGCTGCTTTGAGTTGCTCGTGGAAAACCTGACCCCAAGCAGGCCTCTGGAAGTCAGGGTAATTACGCTGGTTTGTCATGGAAAAACAGGGTAAAACCACCTACGAGCTGGTCGAAACTCTGGCATGCGAAAACAGTCAAAAGTTCTAGGGCTACCCAGATTGGACGAGTTGGATCCCGCGGAACACTTCCGAATTGTGGCCGTACTGCACTGACATACGCGTTTTGTAAACTACAGTCTCGATTGCTGTCCAACTCGACAGTGTATGACTGGTGCATCGTGCTCATACACTGCCCGACCGAGAAAAAAGAAAAAAAAAAAAAACACAGACCAACCTTTCTGCCACTTCCGTGTCAGTCCCCCTTCGCCTCAAAAAACTCCTCTGCCTTGCTAGGGTTTGGCTTCCAACCAGCCAAACCCACAACGCCTTCCGCAGCTGTGTTTGCAATTTCAAACTCGAGGTTTGAACTTCGAACTTCTAACTTCGAACTTCTAACTTCGAACTTCGAACTTCACACTTCAGACTTCAAACTTCGAACGCTGAGCCCACAACCCACTTGTACAAAGAGCCGCCGTCGCAAAACCCATTTTTCCCGCCATCCGCCCCACCCCCTGAAATCCTGTACAGAGCGAAATGTGATATAAACAAGCTCAGAGATAGTCCTAGGGTGATTCGTCTCGTGGAGTCAAGAATCTCAAGTTTCAGCTCACCAGGTGTGACCCTTGTTTTCTATAAAAGCTTAGTTGCCCAACCATTGTCATCAGCGCAAGACCTTTACAAGTTCTCTCCAGTTCTTTCATAGTATTCTCACGCCACACTCTCTTTTCTTTCACGATGGCCCCTAAGGGAAACCAAGTTCCACCTGAGCTGCTCGCAATGGCACAACGTCAGCAGCCCAGCCGTGGCACGAAGAGCAAACATGCGACCCTCGGCGGTCATTACAAGGATCAAGGTACTTACTGCCTTCCTCTTTTGGCACATTCCGGTTGATTCCCTTTGCACAGTTTTTGCGACTAACCCTTATTTCCCGCAATTTCAGGAGGTCTGGCTGAAGCACAGACTGAGAGCGGTGGCCAGTCATTTGCTGGCGAGATTGTTGGGCTGCAGTTACCTGATATGGGACCGCCTGCACTGGCAACTGGCAGAAGTGGCGTGAGGAGCCTCAGCGCTGTTCTGCAGCAGGCCCCTCGTGCTCCTTCCCCTTGCGAGTAACAATGGTACGAATGTCCCGTTGCCTTGGGTCCGCACACTTTCACCCCATGCTAACTTGTGTCTTGTCATTCACCAATGCAGATTCAGGGGTCAACGGTGAGGTCAACCATGAAGCCCCCGCTTCTGCGTCACATCTTCCAGCCAGCCCAGCCAGGCTCCCAGCCCAGCCTCCTGCTGCCTCAACGCCTGTCCATGCTCCTCCCACGCTTGGTGCAACTGGTGATGCCTCAATTCCAGCAGCTGCCGCGGCCTTCATGGTAGCGGAGGCGAACCAGCAAACGGATGAGGATGAGGCGATCATGATGCCTACAGGTAGACTTTGCTCCTGTTCATTCCGCCCTTTAGTTTGCAGCTAAACCTGATGACTAACCCAATTCTGGTGGTTCTTGCAGCTTATACCGCCGTTGGTACCCGGCTCTTTAAGCGAGCCGCTGGCGTTGAGACAAACGGCGGGGTGGATCTGCTCTACAGCGAGAAAGGCCGGAAGATGTCAAGGCTCAATGACGATGTTCGTCTGCGAAACACGCAGCTTGAGGAGGAAGCACTTGCTTCTAGAGACGAACTTCAACGACAGACGGTGGTCACCACTACGTCGCTGAGGGCGGTAGAGAACTTGGCCAACCAAATGGAGAAGAAGGTTCTCACGGACAAGCGCGTGAATGTAAGTATCCATTCCGCCCTTCACAAGTGTGTGTGTTCGCTTCCCCCCTTCCCTCTCATCCTGTCCCTTGTTCCCTCTCCGCCCATCCCTTGATCCCGCTCTACCCGTCCTTCCATTCCCATCCCTCATGCCCTCGTCCCATCTGCCCATCCCTTCATAACTTTTTGTCCTTCCCCCCTTCTCCCTCTCATCCCGTCCCTTAATCCCTCCCATCCCTTCATCCCTCCCATCCCTTCATCCCTCTCATCCCTTCATCCCTCCCATCCTTTCATCCCTCCCATCCCTTCATCCCTCCCATCCCTTTATCGCTCCCATCCCTTTATCGCTCCCATCCCTTCATCCCTCCCATCCCTTCATCCCGTGCAGGACATCATGAAGCAGGCAGTTAGCCTCACCATCAGCAAGCCCCCGTACATTAACTATGCTCCAGATGAAGCCCACTGGCTGAACCTCTTTGTTGGTATGTGCTGCAGCAATTTTGCTATCAAATTTTGCCCGTCCCTTAATTCAACGTGGTGTTCTTCATCACAGTCACGATTTGTTGTTTCAACCTTACCTGGCCTGATCTATCATCACCCGTTTTCTACTACTGTGCAGAGCTGGCAAACGTGCAGCCACTCTCAGAAACCGCATTCAAGCTTAAGCTTGAACTATCGAACTCTGATGCCTTAGAGTGGACTGCCAAAATGTTCAACAACAGGTTTGGGAAAAGGCTTTCCAACCTCAGGCTCGGAGCACTCCTTAATTCCCCTCTTAAGCTAATCAAAGCTGTGATCAACAGCGATGGGAAGAAGTGCTACAAGAAGGACACTGAGTTCGCACTTGCATGTGTGAAGTGGGTTGCTGAGAACGCAATTGGTGAGTAGTTACTCTCGTGCTCTCTTGATCGTTGTCACACACCTGGTGCTAGCCTAAACTCCCTTGTTCTTTGCAGATGACACAGGGATCCCATGGCACGAGTGGCTCGAGCCCTGCCTTTCTTGCGGTGGGGAAAGTGTGGACAGGGAAGGCCGGTCCGGTCGTAGTGCTGCACCGACATCAGCTCACCCTCACTATGGCCGTGGTCAGCCCACAGCCCTTCCTGTCCGTCCCTTCATCCCTCCCTGCCCGTCCCTTCATCCCTCCCTGCCCGTCCCTTCATCCCTCCCTGCCCGTCCCTTCATCCCTCCCTGCCCGTCCCTTCATCCCTCCCTGCCCGTCCCTTCATCCCTCCCTGCCCGTCCCTTTATCCCTCCCTGCCCGTCCCTTCATCTCTCCCTGCCCGTCCCTTCATCCCTCCCTGCCCGTCCCCTCATCCCTCCCTGCCCGTCCCTTCATCCCTCCCTGCCCGTCCCTTCATCCCTCCTTGCCCGTCCTGTCATCCCTCCCTGCCCGTCCCCTCCTCCCTCCCTGCCCGTCCCTTCATCCCTCCCTGCCCGTCCCTTCATCCCTCCCTGCCCGTCCCTTCATCCCTCCCTGCCCGTCCTGTTATCCCTCCCTGCCCGTCCCCTCATCCCTCCCTGCTCGTCCCTTCATCCCTCCCTGCCCATCCCTCATTCTCTCTCATCCCATCTGCCCATCCCTTCATCCCTTTTTGCCCTCCCCCCCTTCCCTCTCATCCCATCTCTTGATTCCTCCCTTCCCATCCCTCCATCCCTCGATCCCCATCGCTCCTTTCCTCCCTTCTCATCCTTCCATCCCTCTCCGCCCATCCCTTCATTCCTCTCTGCCCATTCCCCCGCCCCTCTCTCTCCATCCCTTCCTCCCTCCCTTCCCATCCCTTCATTCCTCTCTCTGCCCATCCTCCGTCCCTCTTGATCTGCAGATTCGTCACAAGTTGCGCAATCCGAACATGGCACGCGTTCAGCTAGAAAGGTCTGGAGATTCTGATGCCCTCGGAAGGCAGGAGCGCGTCGTCCAGCGCCTGCTCAACCGGTTCCAGGCCACCAAGTACAACGGCAGCAACTACTTCATCGGCAAGCTGTACCTCATGGATTGGGTGGATGTCCCAGAGAACATCCTGGCCTTTGATTTCGTGGGGGACCGTGACGTAGATGATGTGGTTGAAGGCGACCTGAATGGAGAGGGTGTGGAGGTTATTTTCTGAAGGGGGCGATGGGGCAAGTGGAGAAGGCCATGTTGCATCTGGATGTGCTTCGTTATCAGGGATATGATTCAAGACGTGTTGGTGTTTTGGAAGTTGATTAGGGTTTGTCTTTATGTTGGATGAGGAGGTATTGTTGAGGGTTGTTTTTCATTGCCAATAATATCTGTTATGGTTTGCGGGTTTAATAAAGAATGAAATCACGAGAATGCATACTTAAAAAAATTGTTCAAATCGAGTTATACCAATATTGTTAAAATTTTACGCAGTTATATATAACAAATATACATACAACATAAGTGTCTAATTTACTGTCCAGTGATTACAACTCGTGGGACAAAAGATGTCCATTGCAGCGAAAGTCTAATAACAAAATTGGCGAGTCGATGCAATACGATCACAACTCTCATTCGACGTGCACACCGAACCCCAATTTCCGAACCGAATTGCTCGATGCGACTCGGTTTGGTTGGGAATGTTGCGGGAAAGACGAAGACGTTCTTGACGACGACTCGCCAATTCCCAGCCAACCCCCTCCGAAGCGAGGGGCTTTCCCCCATCACACCTTCGACTTGAAAAACCTCCCCCCCCCTTCTCCGATGTCACGATGACCGGTTGCCAACGCTCGGTTGGTTCCCGTTTCTGCATCGCCGCGATGTGCTTTCCCGTCCCCGTTTTTTTTCCTTCCCTGCATTTCGGTCTTGGTACGCGTCCGTTCCGCCACATCGGCTCCGCATTTTTCGCGAGGTGTTGGTGTTGCTTGCTGGTACAGCTTCGCTTTGCTGTATTTTAGATCCCTCCACTTTCTCTTTTTTTTTTTTTTTTTTTTTTTTTTTTTTTTTTCGTCGTTTGTTCGCGCTGTCATCCGAACGCTCGAACCGTCTCTGTCAGAGCCGCCGCTGTTCTCGCTGGGTTGAACGCGGCCGTTTGCTCACGGTGTTTGCTCTTCTATTGGCTGTGTCCGCGTTCGTAATGGGCCGTGACCGTTGATTGGCGGGAAAAAGGGGTGTATTGGGTTTGTGCTCGATGGTTTTGTATGGCTTCCAGGGGTGCGCAGATTTAGATTGTGCTGCGGCTGGGTCCAGATCGGTTGAGTGGTGTTAGGCTGGACTAGGCGCCTCTGACAACAGCGTGAGTCACACCCAGTCTGGGGTGCACTTCACGCTGGCTGTGGGGTTTCTCCATGTTCCTCACTGAGTTTGATGATAGCAAAATGGGGGTCCTTTTGGCGATTGTCGTTTGTTTTCATTTTCATTTTGTTTCGCGCGTGGTCGACTGACCACATTTCTGTTCGTCAAATTCGCAACCAATCGGAAAATCACAGCCCCATCCCGAGCCGCGCTCGGCTTTCGCGTCTTGTAATATGGGACCCGGGCTTTAAAGCGCAGATCCCAAAACCCCCTAAAGTCAAGTCCTAAGTTTTTGAGATCCAACCTCCGTTCACAGGGTTACCCGCTTTGCCGGGCGACAACCCAAAAACCAATGAGAACGCCACTGATTGGCCCCCACTCCACGCACACCCCCTCCCTGCGACAATCCCACCTCTAATACATCGCCCACCTTCCCCTCCCAGGATCAAAAACTTATACCATCGAGCAGTTTCAGGACTAGCTCGCCCAGGCAACTAGACACGCTAGATCTAAACCATTTTTAAAGAACATTTTCAGTAGAAACTCTCGTGGCGCGGCGAATACGCAGCTCTAAAGGAGTGCACGCACCCTCCCACCTCACTCTCACCTTGGAGCCGCGTCGTCTGGCGAAAAAATCGCCCGCAGCATGCGATTTTATGCGTACCGTCCTCCCACCCTTCCCGTCGCGACCAGCCCTCCTGCTCCTTGCGCGGGCTGCTGTCCGTGCTGCCCGCTGCTCTCTCTGCTCACGCTTGCACTGCCCGCTGCTGCTGGCTGCTGTCCCCTGCTCGTGCTGCACGCTGCCGCCCGCTGCTCGCGCTGCCCTCTGTCCGCTGCTCGCCGCCTGCTACGTGCCGCCCGCTGCGCTCCGCCCGCTGCTCGCCGCCCGCTGCGCGCCGCCCGCTGCTAGCCGCCCGCTGCGCGCTGCACGCTGCTCGCCGTCTGCTGCCTGCCGCCCGCTGCTCGCCGCCCATTGCTCGCCCGCTGCCCGCCTGCTGCCCGCCCGCTCGCGCACCCGCGCAGTTGCCAGCGCAGCCGCCGCAGCCGCAGTTGTAGCCGCGGGAAGGGGAAGGATAGAGGATGGATAGGGGAAGGAAAGAGAGGTGGCAAAGGGGAAGGAGAGAGGACGGGAAGGGGAAGGCGAGAGGACAGAAAGGGGAAGGAGAGAGGGTGGGAAGGGGAAGGATAGAGGATGGATAAGGGAAGGAGAGAGAGGGCGGGAAGGGGAAGGAGAGAGGACGGGAAGGGGAAGGATAGAGGGCGGGAAGGGGAAGGATAGAGGGCGGATAGGGGAAGGAGAGAGAGGGCGGGAAGGGGAAGGAGAGAGGACCGTAGGGGGAAAGCGAGAGGACCGTAGGGGGAAAGAGAGACGACCTTAACCCCTGCACTCATGCTCGCCCCCAGCACTCATGCCTTTCCCTCCCTCAACCAACCACCCTCCTTCCCCGCAGGAGCTGGCAGCCTTCCGAGAGAAAAGGTAGAGAGAGTGAGGGCGAATTTTGTGCCCTTCCGTGCCCCTCTCATTGCCCTCAATCCCAGCGTCTTCCCCTCTCTTCCTCTCCGCTTCCCCCTCTCTCCCTCTCCGCTTCCCCCTCTCTTCCTCTCCACTTCACCCTCTCTCATCTCCCCCTTCTCCTCCCCCCCTATCCCCCTTTTCCCCCTTCCTCTCTCCCCGTTTTGTTTCTTCCCCCTGATTTCTTTCCTCCCTCCTGCTCCCATTCTCTCCCCCTGCTTTCATTGCTCCCCCTCCCATTCTCTCCCCCTGCTTTCATTGCTCCCCCTCCCATTCTCTCCCCCTGCTTTCATTGCTCCCCCTCCCATTCTCTCCCCCTGCTTTCATTGCTCCCCCTCCAATTCTATCCCCCTGCTTTCATTGCTCCCCCTCCCATTCTCTCCCCTTGCTTTCATTGCTCCCCCTCCCATTCTCTCCCCCTGCTTTCATTGCCCCCCCTCCCATTCTCTCCCCCTGCTTTCATTGCTCCCCCTCCCACTCTCCCACTGCTTTCGTTCCTCGTCCCTGCTCCAGTTCTCACCCCTTCTTCATTGTTCCTCCCCTCATGTCTTCCATTTCCTCCCATTCCTCTCCCTGATTCCCTTCTCACCCCCGTTTTGCTGGTTTCAGGGCGGGCACGGCTGCCCTGGGGACATGACCTTTGGGTGCGCTTCACTCCCCCTTCTTCCGCCTTCCCCTCCTTGCACCTTCCCCTCCTTGCACCGTTCCCTCCTTGCACCGTTCCCTCCTTCCACCTGTTCCTCCTTACCCCAACTCCCTTCCACTCAGAACCTGAGTACCTTGCTCCCCTCCCCCCTGCAGTCATGCTCAGCCCGAGCCTATCTCAAAATCTCTTGAGCTCGTCTCTCTCTCCCTCTCTCTCTCTCTCTCTCTCTCTCTCTGCCCATCTCTCTGTCCATCTCCCCGTCATCCGTTTCTCCCATACTCCTCCCATTTCCCCCTTCCCCCTTCCTTTCACTGCACGGATAAAATCTTGCAGGGTGTTGGGCTGAGAAAAGCCCTTAGGATCTTTCCAGAGACTAAGTCCAAGTTGTAAAAGGAGACTTTGAGTAGTGCAGCAGAAGTTGAGTAGTTGAACCCTTGTACTAGTATGTGAGAACAAGTGATTGATTAAAGGAACAAGCATACAGCAATATATAGAAAGTAGGAAAGTAAAGCAGTTGTAGAATACAGTTGAAGAGCGGTTATCGAGTCGCACAGCGACTCGATTGTCGCTTCGATTACCATCCTTGCAGTTGTAACGGTCAGTCGCAACCTCCGGTTGCGACCCTTCGAGTCCTTTCGTGTTCTTTGTCCATCTCCTCATGTAACCTCCGTTGACTCGCGTACCCGTTACGATCTTCCTCGAGTGTGGTGTTACACTTAAGAAACGCTTAAGTCCTTGAGGTATTTCCAACACTCCCCTTCGTTTCTGGAGTGCTGACGTGTTCAGATCCGGTGACGTTTGTCTGCCCGGTCAGCAGCATGCAGTAATCGAACTTTGCTTTCGCCAGTTTCTTCGTCAGGTAGTCTGCGGCCATTTCTGTCGTAGGGCAGTACCGTATTCCCCCGTATATAACACCCTAGGGTATTGTCAAAATTTCATTAAAAAAACGTATGGGTGTTAACAGTAGGCTGGAAAAATAAAACACCCATGTCTTATGTAAAATGCAAAATGAATTTGGGTTGTAACACGCACTCTGAGGCCAAAACTTCACCGAGCATCTGCTAACGAGGAATCTGCTACAGAGTGCATACTCTGACAGGGTCAGTTTGGTGCCTTTGAAAACGGCGGGAGATTGATGCTGCAGCAGTGCCAGGTGTCATTGACCAATCTCGTAAGAGTGCTGTGAATAGAGTCACAACCATTGCTGACGCGATCGAGGTGGTTCAACAGCAAGATGGACGGTCGAGATCCTCTCGACACTTTTTGTCTTTCGATTTCATGTTGCCACTTGTATTGATTCTTCTGCCCGTCTTTGCGCTGCGAATGGCAGCTGACGCGATTTTAATCGTGTTCGTATTTTTGCAGCTGAGCGAACCTTGGTAATGAAGGACAGAATACTATTTAAAGGCAAGAAAAACGTGCAGGGTGTTATGTAAAATGCAAACCCAAAAAAGCGGGTACTCTCAAAAATGCGTCATATCATAAGCTATCCCCCGCATAAGCCACCCGTGGGCTGACTATTTCGGCGGGTCTTATATACGGGGGATTACGGTAACTGAGTTGAAGTCTCCCCTTCGCGATTTCATCCGTGACGAAGAAGTACCGCAGAGCGACGTGCTTGGTTCGGTTGGCGAAGCCGTCCTTGTTCGCGATTTTGATCGCAGATTGGTTGTCGCAGAGGAGTGAGAAGACGGGCAGGGTCGCAATCTTTGCTTCCTCGAGTAACTCTCGCAGGTAAAGTCCTTCCTTGGTCGCGGTGTAGAGGGCGATATATTATGCTTCAGCCGAAGATAGTGCGATTAGTTCCTGTTTACTCGACTGCCAAGAGATAGTCCCGATAGGTTCTAGTCGGTAGATGTAGCCCGTTCTCGATCGTCGATTTTCCCTGTCTCCCGCGTGGTCGGCGTCGACGTATCCGAGTAGTTGTACGGACGGTGTTGTTACTTTGCTGTAGGTAAGTCCGATCGTCGGCGTAGAGACGAAGTAGAGTAGTGCCCGGTTTAGTTCTACGAGATCTTCTTGTTCCGACTGCTTCAGATGCGTAGCCAGTTGGCTCGCGCTGTAGGATAGGTCAGGTCGGCAGGTTACTGCTGCGAATAGTAGGCAGCCAAGCTTCTGCTGATACTCCTGGATTTGCTTCGCGGGGAGTTTTGCGGAGGTGTCGTTGTTGTTCCCGTAGCGGTAGGGAGTCGTGACTGTAGTTGGTGTTAGTCCAAACTTCTTTGCGACGACGCCTGCGTATTTTCCAGCATATAAGTAGAACGCCGAGTTGTCTTCGACGACTTTCAGACCCAGGTACTGGGTCACGGTGTCTGACACCGTGAATGTCAAGTCCCTTTTCAGCTCCCCTTCGAACCAGGTGGCGATGTCAGTAGTGGAGCCGATGTAGAGCAGGTCGTCGACGTAGACGATGAGTAGGATAAATTCCCTTTCCTTTTGCAGTCGGTACATGCCTTGGTCGTGCGGCAACTGTAGGAATCCGATTTTGGCGAGGCGACCGTGAAGATGCTGCTGCCAAAGCCGCGGGGCTTGCTTGATCCCGTAAAGGGATTTTATCAGCTAGCATACTTTTGTGGGGTCGTCGATGAATCCGTGGGGCTGCTCGACGAATATCTCGGCGTCCACAGGTGCGTACAGGAAGGCATTTGCGACGTCGATCTGGCGCAGTGGTAGTTTCTTCGTGGCCGCGACGGCGAGTAGAATGCGAAAGGAGGTGTGACGGGAGACTGGGGCGAATGTTTCTGTGTAGTCGGTTCCGTATCGTTGGTCGAATCCTCGTACGACCCAGCGAGCTTTGAATCGTTCAATGGAGCCGTCCGCATTGGTCTTGATGCGGTACACCCACTTTCCCGAGAGAACGTTCTTCCCGTTGATGTTCGTTGCAGGTACCAGCTTCCATGTACTTCGGTCTTGCAGAGCTTTCAGTTCCTTTTCCATTGCCTCCTTCCATTTTGCCTTGTGTTCCCCCCCCAAAGCCTGCGACAGAGTCGTTGGCTCGCGCGGAGATGGCGGCGGCGGATGCTGGACAGAGACCCATAAGCCGAGTATCTGCAGTCCCGTGGGTGTGTGTCGAGGGGAATTTTCATTCCCGGAATAGGCTGCTTCGTTGTTGGGAAGCGAGGACGAGGACAACAAATTGTGCAGGTGGACTGCATGTGTCATCGCGTCTGGCCACAGTGTGTTGGGCAGTCTCATCCCCAAGAGCAGCTTCCGCATCGTCGTCTGCAAGGTCCGATTCATTCTTTCTGCGACCCCCTGCTGCTGGTGAGCGTAGGGCAGAGACACCAGGTGTCTGATTCCTCTTTCTGCCAAGTAGGTCCTGAATCGTTGTGATTGGTATTCCAATGCGCCGTCGGACTGGAAGCTCTTGAGCTTAGTTCCTGATTCTCGTTCAGCAATGGGGAGCCACGTCGTGAAGGCTTCGAAAGCTTGATCTCGAGTCTTGAGGTTGTAGTGCCAAACATATCTTGTTGCTGCATCGATGAACGTGATGACATAGTTGAAGTCGGCTTCAGTGTCGTCTCGAGGCATGTTTAAGATGTCGCTGTAAATTTTTTCCATCGGTTCGTATGCAGGTGCACTTGGATTGTGATGTGATGGAAAAGGTTGGTGGGGAAGATCTGCTTCGGGGCACGTGAAGCACCGTGCGCGAGGTCGTCGAAGTTCTTGGCCGCTCGTTGTAAGAAGATTGTTTCGTTCTAACACTTCGGCTTGGATGGTTTGTAGTACCGTGCTGTTTGCAGGATGCCCAAGGCGTTGGTGCCAGATGTCGTCGGAGGCGCGATGGCCGAGCGAGCGTTGGTACATGTCGGTGTTGGAGAAGAACGCGACGACCGTGGCGGGACTTCGGCAGACTTCTCGTGTGATGGGCATAAGTTGATCTGCTTTGGTTGGCGGTCCTCGGATCGCTGGTGATGGTACTCGGCTGGGTCCTGCTGCTGCTACCGCAGGTAATGTTTGGGGAGGGATGCTTGCTGGTACTTGTCTTTCTTGTCTGATGACTGCTAACGCTCGTGTTCTCTCTGCTGCAGGTATGGTGTTGGAGTACCAGAATCCATCTGGGGTGAAGTCGGGGTCAAGATCCGGCGGGTGCGTCCAGGCGGCGAACGACACGATGCCATCGCTGTCGGCAGTACCGCGGTTGGGGACGAAGTCCAACACGAAGACGCCTGACTTCAGGAGAGCGTGACCGATGAAGAGACCGCCCTTCCCGTGGTAAAGGCAAAATTCGTTGGAGTCCGAGTCGCACTCCAGGTGAATCCCTTTTGCCATTAACTGGCTGACGCTGAGTAGGTTGTATCCCAAATTGTCGACGATGAGAACTTTGTTGAGTTGCAGTATAACGTTTGTCTCCATGGACTGTAACTGAACCACTCCTTGTCTGTTTGTTTTTAGGTTCTCGTTGTTGGCGACGGTGATGATGACATCTCGGTTGAGACGTCGTTCGCGTTGCACAAAGCACCCGGAAGAACACATATGTTGGCCGCAACAGCTGTCCAAGCACCAAGTGTTTCGCCCGGTGGGTTCGGCGTTGGCAACTACAGCGTATGTTGGGTTGACCTGAAGTCCTTGTGAGCGCAGCGGTGACAGTTCTTCTTCATCTGGAGCATAAGTGGGCGGTGATCCGGGTGCGCAGTTGTCGATGTGTACCATGCAGTTGATGATGTTCGATGTACCTTGTGCAGATGTGGAGGAGCGCCTTGGCGGGCTTTCTTGAGTGGAAGCGACTTGTGGGTCTACTGGACGATAAGCTCGGGGACGTGTGCAGTTGACTTTGGAGTGTCCGGATGTTTGGCAGTTGTGGCAGAACGGCGGCACAATGGTGAGTCCTCTGTTGTCGCGTTGATCTTGTTTGCCGCGTCGGTTGTGGTTGTTATCGTTCCTTCGTTGAGTGTAGAAGACTAATGGTTGCTGTTTCCTTGGTTGCCTTTCTTCGAATAGGTCCATCTCCTGTTGTTCAGCATGGAGCTCGGCGCAGAGGTGCATCTCCGAGATTTGTCTGTGGGCGCGATGGAGCGAGCGGGTGGTGCTCCATTCTGGCCCGAGCCCAGCGAGGACAAGTGTCACGAAGCTTTCTTCAGTAATTGTTCCTCCGCACCGAAGCAGGCGGTCGCCGAGTGTCTGGCATCGACTCATATACTGCATCGCCTTTTCCCCGGTCTTCATCTGTATTGTTGTCAGCTGCTGCATGAGTCTTCTTTGTGTCACGCTGTCGTTTGCTTGATAGAGACACTTGAGGTGATGCCATGCGAGTTCCGCGGAGTTTCCATAGCTCCGATACGTTCTGATGCTTTGCTGTTCTTGTGGTGACAGGTTCCGCAGGAGAACTGTGTACGCCAGCAGTGATTGATACGTGAAAATTTCTTGCTCGTTTGCAGTGCCGTTGCTTGGGAATGGCAGGGACCTGTTGAAGTATCCCAAGAGATGCGCAGCCTCCATCAGCAGCTCGAACTCAAAGCTCCAGGTAAAAAAGTCGTGTCCGTTGAATGGTGAGGATGTCTGCAGTTTAATCACGTATGA